GTGCATCCGGCCGTAGCGTCGTGTCAATGCGCGTCTTCATATTTTGAAAAAACAAAACATTTAAAATAGTTTCCATGGTGACTTGATCACACTCCATTTTCACTTATTGACAAAATTGTGCCTGTATGGTTTCTGTTGAAGATGACGCTGGTAATGCTTCTAATGGCATCGTCTTATATAATGGGGAATGCTGGTGTTCTATTTGCTTCTCTTACTACTTGATGCCCCGAGTAAGTTCACCACATCCGCGTTACAACTGTGCTTAGAACCATGATCGGCTTACAGCATTTTCTCATGCAAGTCTGTCCACCCAATGGCCTTAGAGCTACGGGATGATGAGCTGATGACAATGACGTTAGCCCAGTGTGGTAATGCTTGATGTTTTAGCTGAGACTTGGCTACACTGCACTTCATCTGCTGGAGTTTAGAACGGACGGATTTGACCTGTTGTGCACCTTGCCTCGTGCTAACTCTTTACACAGTATGGCAACCGGCTGTATGGACCAGAGAAGGCAGGTCCTGCCAGTATCAATGATGAAGAGGGCAGTGAGCCGGAGGAGGACGGTGACATCCAAGCAGCCTTGGCCAAGGAGGTACGTCTATTAGCGTCAAGCAATAGCCTACTGTTTCACCGCTACTGATTGGCCATATTTGCTTCTTTTGTTTTATTGCACTTAGCCTGTTATCCGGAAGGGGGAAGGGGGGGGGGGGGGTGCTGATACTGGAAAAGTGGAGGACGGAACTGTTTTAATAATATTATAATCCAGGCTCTGTTTGGCCTAGAGTGTTTCGGCCTTGTTTTCCTTGTAAGCTCATCACAGGGTTGAGGTGAATGCTTCAAATTTGTCTTGGTTGCTATATTTTATGTCTTCTCTTGGGTTTCTTCAGGTGGCGGCTTTGAAGCAGACAGCTCCCGGTCAACGACGTTTTCAGTCCATCCGATCCGGAGCGAAAAATGTAATCTTCATCCGTTGCTCCAAAGAGGTCGATGTGTGTCAGCTTGTGCATGATATGCTGGAGGACATGTCGGCTACAAAGAAGGCTAAAGCAAGGTAAGTGTTTGTCCTCAACGAGCTAGTGCTAGGGAGGAGAATACACCGAGAGAGCTGTGCTCTGTATACCGTTGTAGTCTCTCACTTGTTTTTTCTGCAACACCAATTGGGTGGATCGAAGAAAAGTGCACTGTTTTGAGAACGATTGAAAGTTGTGCTGGGTCAGTACTGAAAGAGGCTTGAATGCATTGTCCTGCGGTGACGTTCTTTGTTGTGCGCACGTGTGTGTGTGTGTGTGTGTGTGTGTTGGTAGGTTCTGCCAGCGTTTCCTTCCTGCCAGCGATGTGTCCTATGCATCGATCTCCAGCATCACCGAGCAAGCAAAGCGTGTCCTCGCACCTCACTTCCACAAACCAGCATGCGAGGCACCGACTACGGTACGTGGTTGACGACAGTTTGCAAAGAGTTGGCCCATTTCAATGTTGTAGAATGTCTTGTGTTCTGGTCCTAATTGATGTCAGGATTGACGCTTGGACTGCTGACCAACATCAAAAGAAGATTGATGTTTTCAAATAGCTGTTGCAGTGGTTCTTCTTCCAAACTATATTTATTTTCTGTACATTTGATATGTTCACAGTTTGGTGTTGTGTACAAGTGTCGCAACAATACTGACATGGACCGTGACACCATCATCAAGGCTGTAGCAGATGTCGCCGTGGAGGGTGGCATTGCGCACAAAGTCGACCTTGCCAACCCAGTGCTAGTCATCTCCGTGGAAATCGTCAAAGTAAGTTTAAACGTACATGCGCTCGCGCGTACACACAACACAACACACACACGCAAGTGCGGGCCTGGACGTCTTGGGAAGATAAACCATTCGGTGTATGACACCGCTCAAGTACGTAAAAGATTCCACAGAATTTATGGTGTCACCACCGTCCGGTACCATTGGTGCATTCTCCAGAGTGTTCGCCACCATGCCTTTGGTTTGGCCACGCTGACGGTCAGACCCCGTTTATCAACACATGAGATTAAATTGGTTGTGGACGACTCGAAGCCTCGGTGAGTGGTGGAAAAGACTGCAGCATCATCAGCAAAAAGTGTCTCAGTGACACGGGTTGAAAGCAGCCACAACTTTGCAGTGTGATCACCAACGAGTTTATGTCCAGGCTTGTGCTTAACGGTTGTGTCAACATCCGTGCATTTCGAACGCCAGTGTGTAATTGCCGCTGAGAAGTAAATGTTGATTAGGACTGGAGCCAGTGCACAACCCTGGCTCCAGGGTTGTGCACTGGAGACCGCTGGTCGTATGCCTTCTTCAGATCGATAAACAGAGCAGACAGAGGTGACCGGTGCTCAGAACTCTTTTCGATCAGTTGACGGACAACATGCACCATGTCTGTGCAACCCATTTCATGATGGACGCCACACTGAGACTCATGCAGGATCTCCTCGGCAACGATGGTGAGGCAGTCTTGCAGCACGCGAGCAAAGAGCTTCCCAACAACACCCAATAGGCTAACGCGGTGCCAGTTGTCACGGTAATGAAGGCTTCCCTTCTTTAAAGGGGAAGTTGAGACTAATATCACATTGCGCCAGGCACCGATAACGCCTCCCTCCTTCCAGACCAAGGTCACAATTGCGAGCAAATGTCTGTGTAAGTCGGCACTGCCATGGATTATCATCCGGTAAAATGCGACCTGAAGGCAGCGGATCTCTCCGTGGAGAGCGCTCTCCAAGCTGCAGGAGATAGACTAACTTGGCCTGACACTGTTGACAGATGCGTCGACTCTGGTCCAGTCTAACAAGTTCAGGGAAGATGCGAGCTGTGTGTATTATTATTTAAATGCCTAAAGTCTCTGCGGCTACGAAGAGCTTTTGCAAACTCTTCTGGACTAGGTGGACGGTCCAGACCCAATCGCGATGGCTGCTCGGGAATGGTTTCAATAATAGCCGGGCCGAAACAGCTCTCTGTGTTCAATACAGTCACACAGCTGCGCACGCGCGCGCGCGCACACACACACACACACACACACACACACACTCTCTCTCTCTTTTTTTTTCTCTCTCTCTCTCTCAGTGATTTTGTTTTCAAAGAATAGTATCAGTTACAATTGTCCGTGTATTCCTGATCTTGATTATTCTGTAGTGTAGTGATTCTCGTGGCAGGTCTAAGGACTTGACTATGGGTGCGTTCTTAAATCCTCTCGGAAAAGTTCGAGAGCTGTTCTTATATCCTCTCCGACTTTTAGGAGGCTCTCCAAAGCTCTCCAAACTCTCCAAGCTTCAGAGGTGGTTGAAACTTGGAGATTCCCGCGGTTTGGGATCAGCGCATGCGAACTACGACTAAAAGCCACGTGTTCATCATGAGTGTACGCATTTCCCTTTTCGCATACGCACATACATTCATCACTCAAGATCGCGGCCCCTTTGACGCTTCATTTTGCTTGACATGTGCAAAATATCTCCGAATTCTTCAAGACCCGTTCTTGAGTAATCCCAGTTTCTTCGACTTCTCTTTTCTTCTTCTTCTAGAAGCTAGAGAATATAAGAACGCACCCTAAGATATGTGTGTATCACCCGCTGAGGCTTTTGAGCTTGACATTAGTGAGGTTTTGCATTCCGAATTTCGGAAATATTTTCGGAATCTGGAGGCAGGGGTCGAAAAAGTAGTCGAACTTTCGAAAGTATGGTGGCGAAAGTGCATGTTTTCCAAAAATACGCTTTTCGGTTCTTTCCTGTTTTGGTGCGCATTTTTGAATACTTTTGCGTGTGCCGCAAGATTCAGAATGCGGAAAAAAATTCAGTTCTTGGCGCCTTCTACGCTCACCACTTTGTTTTCACATGGCAACCGATGGAAACTACTTCGAAGTAAGAAGTAAATTGAATCGAAGTAAGAAGTAAGTTGAATCGCGTTTTCGGAAGGAAAAGCTGAATATGGCTTTTTTCGGAAAGGCAGAGTCAAAATTTGGAATGCAGATTACAAAACCTCTCTATTTTTATCTCAGGGGGCAGCAATACTTGGGGATGGCAAGCATGGGTCATGTGTCATTCAGTTCTACGCACATGTACCGGGCCCCATGTTGGGAGTACTAGTAGCTAACTATGTACTGTAGTGGACATCGTGAAGTGAAATGCCGTTCCATGCCAGCTGCACATTGAATCTGTACGTGTTCCTCTCTATGTATGTGTGTGTGCGCATGTGTGTATGTGTGTGTGTGTGCACGCATGTGGGTATGTTGGTGTTTGATCACCGCCAGACCATGTGCTGCATGTCAGTCGTCAAGGACTTCTACAAGTTCAAGCGCTACAACATCCACTCCATACTGACGGACGGACGAGCGGCCGAGGAACCGAGCCAGACGAGTGGCACGGCGAAGGACTCGGCTGCTGCGACTACGGAAGAGCCCAGTAGCACACCGCCATCGGCAGCTGCAGAGGATAAGCCATCATGAACACCACCATGCTCAGCTGTATCTCCATCTCATTGTTTTTGTGTTTGCTGTCAATCAGCTTACCTCTAACCAGGCAGTAGCCAGTCCACTTGGGATGGCAGCACAGTGCTAAGCCACCTGAGCAAACCCATGATAAACAATGCAGCTCTTGGGCTGTGTCAGAAGAGCAGAACACAACTGTAAATGTGCTGTCGCTCGCCTAACTTTTTAACATCAGCTTTAATAGCTGCATACATACAGAGTTCTGTTGGATTGGCATAGTTGAGGGTCATGGTGATTGGATTCTATTGTATCAATGGTGATGTTTGCAAGAACTTCTATTCCCGTTCATTTTCGTTGCTTTGAACCTGCCCAACCCTAGGCCCTGTGCTGCCGAAACAATCCAGGTGGCATCTCAAGATTCGGAATATGACTGATTGTTTTATTCTGTTTTCTTTTTCTCCCCGACTCTCGTCCTGTGTTTCTCCTATTGGTGCGGCTACAAGAAGAGACTATGAGTTTGTGTACCTACACCATTGAATGCAAGGAAGAATGTACATGTCCTAAGAAAGAAGGCGTAAAAGATTGTGCAAAGTGAGCAGCAACCAAAAAAAGGGGGGGGGGGGGAGAGGGAGGCCAGAAGAGGGGAGGGAGCTTGGACATAATTACACAAGCACGCACAAACGGTGCAAGGGATAAGGGCAACAACCAGAGCCACGAGAGAGGGAAAGTGATCAGGTAGAATATACAGCTAACGTCAAACCTACGTTGTCACACAAATTTAATAATGGAAAGATGCACAGGTGATAAAAAAAATGCGATGGTACCTCAAAGCACATAAAATAATGCAAAGGCAAACAAGGAGCAGGGCAAATGAAATACCTAATTTCAGTGCGTCATTAGCAGTGGAACAGGACACAAACGTTGGGTTGAATTGCATTGGTTATGGCAAAAGAACACAAGGAGCAAGTAAAAATGAGCTGGCTATGGATAAATCATGGATGCCCACGAGGATAGCGTCTAGATCTAACGGAAGCGATACTTTATGTATGGGACCTCCACATCTTCATCATTTACGTCTGAGCAGCAAAGCTCAAAGACTAAGCACTTGACATGCGGGCGTAACTTCTTCTTCGAAATCTTCTGCACCAAGTCGGTCATTTTCCAGTCCATGCGTTCCTTGGCCTTTGCAGGTGGCAGGAAGAAGGAGTACAGCATACAGACACCCTGCGACAGCATGGTTATCTCCAGCCGATGCTTGTCCTTGAAGTAGTCCAGGAACTCTTTCAACGTCATTTCCTTACCAGACTCCATACCATTAAGCTGTAGGAAAGAAAACAGCACAAAGACAGCAACAGAAAATACAGTTGGTGCTGCAGGGAATACCACTCCTATACTGAACGCAAGAATGAAGACTGAAAGACACCAGCAGCAAACTAGAGTTCATTACAGCCTAGGAGCACAGAGGCATATTGTCATTATCAAGAGCACATGTAGCTAAGTTTCCGAGAGCGTGCGCATTTGGATCTATAACGGGAAGTAAAACCAGAGTAAACTTTGAAGTACAACTGTGCTCTCTTTTCTATGGGCCAGCGTAGCACTACCTTCATTATCATGCAGCTTTAAATGTGCACTGCGGCAACTGAAACACCACGATTTCTCCCACGGTTTGAAACTTTAACTTTTGGAAGGAACTGTGCTTCGTGTACGCAAACCTACAGATCGGGCTGGGACTGGAACAAATCCAGCTGATGGCAAAAAACTCATATCACGTGGTGCAGTATTTTCGCACTCGCATTTTATAATTACCTCCATTCGCCAAAGACGTGCGCGGGGAACGTCCAAAACGGCTTGAAGGCATCCCACGGGGCCCGTACTTCATACGAAATTTCTTGGACCAAACAGATTTTTGTCTGAGTTGTGCAACTGAAATGTGGAGTCCATTTCGAACAAATTGTGCAAAAACAACCATTGCCAAGGCAGAAAGTAAGATTTCCTCTTTTATGCACACATCCCCTCCCTCTACCTGTGTCCAAACTCACCTCAAAGCTGTCCCATAGGGAGAATTCAGTGTCATAGAATTTGGACTTGGCAGGCGGTAGTGGTTCAGAGAAGCCGAAAAAGGGCAGTGCCAGGTTCAGGAAGCCGTTCTTGAATGACTCAAGCTGATTATGACCCTGAGCGATCTTGTACATTTCCAATCCGACGAGGCCACTGACAGCGGCAGTGGTGGTAGCGATGGCTGGAATGATTTTGCCAGCGATCAGCTTGCTCTTATGCCTGTCAGCTGGTGCAATGCCGTAATTCTCTGCACGTAGATTCGACGTGGCAACGATGAAGTCCATGTGGAAGTTCGTGTCGTCGTCCTTCTCAAACTCCACTGGCGTCAACTTCAGACCCCTGAAGGTTGACGGTGCTGGAATACTGGCTTGCAGCGTCTTCACCATGCTCTCGTCCGAGACTTGGTTAGCAGACGCAGCAGCATCGCTCTCTGTAACGTCAATCTTCACACCAGACCTGCATGCAGCAAGCACAGCACGAATGGAAATAAAGAAACCGACATCTAGGACAACAGTACACAATGTAGATTACAGCACTGTATAAGAAAGGGAGCGCACACACAGTGAAGTATACTCAACTCTTGGTCATCCGGGTAGCTTGGCTTTGGGCACTACCCGTAACAGTGAAAGATATGCATGTACACGTATTATGGAGATTGCGTCGGTGTCAGACACAACACATTCTGGTCTGGGTACACTTAGCATTGCACAAACAGTACCCATGACGTTGAGCTGTTCAAGTGGACGGGCACAGCTCATTTCAGTAGTCTCCCCCCCCCCCCCCCTCGCTAAATCAGGGGCTACTAGTAGTAGTCCCGTGCACGGGTTAAGTGCTTGTCAACACTGCCTGGAAGAGTGAGGGGTCCGAATAAGTGCGATGTTAGTGTACTGCCAGTAGTTGTGAGATTTCACATAACACAAACACACGTCTTCTGCTGTTCAATCCACTGTCGTCTACCACGTATCCGGTACATATACACGTACATGCCACTACAACACACTCATATCAAAATTGTCAATCAAATGCACGAAGAACTTACTTGGGTACGAATGCAGGTACTTCAACGGCATTGGCAATGGCTGCAACAGCAGCACGATCTCTTGTGCCAGAAATGCCGTAGACGCCAGCAAAGAGGTTTGCGCCAGCTACAACGTAGTCCAGGTGCGTCTCAACATCCGTTGAAAAGTCGATGGGTACAGGGCAACGCTTTGGCCCGGACCAGAACGGTGCTCCAGAGTCGGTCTTCTGATCTGCCGGAAAGTTGAAAAGGAGCTGACGGATCTGGTTGGAGAAATGCTGCTGGAACTGAAGACGCACCCACCGGACGCAGTCCTCAAAAGAGCTCGGGCGCCAATCGACTAGCGCGGTCTTAACACTTTGAAGGGTCTCCACTGGCACGACACCGGCCTGCTTTAGCGTGCGATCCACGAACTTAGCGTCGGTCAGGTACTGCCGTGCCGTGTCCGGTGTCTGGCTGAATACTCCTTCGAACTTGTCACGTGCCCACTGCAGGGTGTGCTCAATCAGGTTGGGGAAGTTCTTCAGCGTGCAAATAGGAATGGACTTCTCAGGGGGATCCTGCGATGAGGAGTAGGACTCGGTCAGGCAAGGGTACACCACTTGGATGTTACCTTTGGTGCCGAGTGTGCCGGACTCCAGCAGGGATTTCTTGTAGAACACGCAGCGGCGATCCATGTACATGCGCGCATCCACGTTGTCCAGTGCGTTCGCGATACCGTCGAGCTGCTCAAAGAAGTCGTCATTGTAGATGTCTTCGGAGTCGGGTCCAACTCGGTTCTGCTGTGCCGTGATGTTGCAGGCTGGGTTCATGTCCTTGACCGCCTTGGCTGCTGTGTTGGATTTCATCTGCTGCACGTCCCATGGACGGAAGAGGAACTGGCGGTTCAGGTTGCTCTTTTCAATTGTGTCCATGTCAGTGACGTAGATATGGCCTTGAGGACTGCAGCCGACACCCATCAAGCTCATGTTCTTCAAGTGCTCACAGCCAATGGCGCCGGAACCAACAACAAAGTACTTCAGACTCTCCAGGCGAGCGTGGAACGTGGCGCCAAACACAGCGATCTGACCGTCATAGCGACTGTTCCTCGGCGCGCACTCGGCTTCAGTCAGGACGGACTCGTCAGTCGGCATGCACTCCAGAGCGTCGAAGTAGAAATGCTGCATGACGGGCATGAACTTGCCACTGGTGGCCTTCATCACCTCCTGTGCAGCTACGCCACCGATGAAACCTTGCATAGGACACAGATCTCCGGTGGCTTGGAATGCCAGCTGTCGCTGTAGTTTCTCGTCCACTTCTTCAACTGCCACTGCAATCTTGCCGTTTTGCTCCTTGACAATGGCAACGAAAGCATCGGCATCTTCAGCATGGCGTGGCCGCGGCAAGCGTCCATTCACCTTGATGTACTCGTGCATGCTGGCGAATCCCAGATGAAGCTGGCCAGGTCGGTCAAACTTGGCGAAGTCGGATATGACGTGTTCCGGTGCAGCCATGCTTTCACGCAATGACGAGAAGTGTACGACCTTGGGCATTTTGACCTGTGTAGCAGTGCCTCCACCCACATATGGAGACAGGGCGGACGTGTCACCGATACTGAACGTGTACGGTCCCAACACCTTCACCTTGCGCGGCTCGCAGGCATTGATCTCGGTCATGCCCTTCACTTCGTGGAACGTCACATAGTCACCGTCCTCCAAACCGTGCCTGGTCTCATCAGCACATGTTACCACACCCTCTACATCTTGGCTGATGGCTGATACCATAGTAGAAATGGGCTGCTCGCCGTTTGTGTCTACCACGGTAAAATCTTTGCCGAAATCGCAGAAAATGGAGGCAAACAGACCACGTGTTTCCGCTACAATCAATTTGATATCATGCTTATGTGCAAAGTCACCAATGCTCAATTGCTCTTCAAGGCTCGAGCTGGTCAACACAATGACTTGAAAGTGTTGCAGGAATACTTCAGTCAGCTCGCCAGTGTGAGACCTAATGGGCACGTAGGAGTTAAGCTCGGCGAGACGAGGCAACGTAACCTCGGCTCGGTTCTTGCCACAGTCGTTCTCACGAAAGAAATACTGAGAAGACAACTCACCGATTTGCACATTACCACTATCATGAATTGCTACAGACTTCACTCCACCCAGAACGACGTTCTTGGCTATTTCGACACCGAGTCCCTTCATGCCAGAAATTAGGACATTGGAGCAGGCCATTCGCTTCATGGCTTCATGGCCTAACACGTACAGTTGACGAGAGTAGAGACCCTCGTCAATTTCTGTAGACGCCATGCTCCCGTTCGTTGTGGAGTCCAACTTTGGACGCTTTGCTGCAGGCTCGATATTGGCGAGCTGCTGTTCTTGGGACATCTAACAAACTTCGAGGAAAGAACAAACAGTCTTTCCGGCAAGAAAATTGGATATACTTCAGCACCACAATCACTGGTGCCTTTAGCCAAGAAAGTTTTCAGGCCTGCAGTATGGTGTTTCCTCGATCGAGTGACGAACCAGCCCAACTTTTGTAAGCATTCGGATGTTTCGACTGCACTGTTTGCGTGCAGGCCAGGTTTGCAGCCATCACGACCGTGGAAAAAAATCTGCATCGCTGGCAGAGCGCGCGCTCGCCAACAACTACTAGTATACTAGTGACTCATGCGATGAATGTGCGCAGTGCTGCGCAGTGCGCACCCTGTCGAGGCTGTGGGATGGGGTGGCTAGGTGAGCAATCGATTTTAGGTTCGCACAGACTCACGATCACAGTGGTGCTATGTACGCTTTACTTCACCATGTTGCATGTAAACTCCCAGTTTGACTTTGAGTTTGACAAGCAGGCATAATTAATTGTCATGGTGGTTGAAAATAATGATGACTGATCGGTGCAAGCAATAATGTCCAGAGTCTCTCGACTGGAGATAGAAATGACGAGCTGCTCGCGCTGAGAGTCACTGTCTGTAGCGGTGTGGGTGTCTTTGACTCATCGTCAGGAGTCACGTTGGGGCCTGGCACTGGCAGGAGCACCGTTTGATCTACGCTTTGTCCTAGGTCCTGGGCCTGGCTTTGGGAGTCCTGCGCCGAATGACCTGAGTAAGCGACTAATGTGGATCTGGATCACCGGACGTTTTGCCTACATGGCCACAGGCTGTCAACGAGATGCTAGAGCGGGAGAGTACCTCCGAAAAAGCGTTGCCTTGGGATAGGGTAAAACGAAGGCCAGCATGACCAGATGACTGCAGTTGACATTCCGGATCGCAAGATGGGGAGAGTGAGTGCAGCCAGCTAAGCGGTTGGAAAGAATACTACGAGGATTTTGTGTGTGTTATTTCTGCCCAAGTACTTGCGATGCCGTATACAGTATCCTCTCTGGACCAGGTTTTGTGCAGTTTGAATGAGGGCGGGAGTACATCGGGCCGGGGTTCCGGAAATGTCTTCTCAGGGCACCTCGTCGGGCGAATGGTGCATGCCGGCACCCCGTGCTAGTGGCATGAGCACACCGTGCCGGGCCTGTAGACCATGGTGGTAGAGGATCTAGAGCGGATCGACTTTTGGCATGGTGCTGAATGGATCGTGATGGATGGCATGTCATTGAGACGTATTCGCCTGGCCTGCTCTGACCAGGGAAATGGAAGTACAGCGTGGTCAGCCATGTTGCAGTATTCCTCGAGCACGCCGACATTGCCAATAGTACAAGTGCAGCAAGTTCCTAGTATACAGTGCATCGCCACACCTCGGTGCATTGTGTGATCACATCTCCGCTCAGGGCCTCGGATCAGCCCGTCAATTCCTTACACGTCATGTGGCACCCGTCATGCCTTGTTTCATCAATACTGTACGAATACATACAACCTACATGTACGCAAATAGACTGTTATCTGGCCCTGAGAAACTTGCATGTGCGCAAATAATTCCGTTCACATAGCGACTATTGATTTGCGCCGGGTGTCAATATAGCGGCACTTCAGGAAGTGTAGCTGCCTACTACTCTAACACACGGAGCACAGAAGCCGTTCTAGTTTCGACTACTAGTAAGCCTTTCGCTCCGTTGCTTCTGTGCTTTGCGTGTTAGCTTGCTTCCCTCCAACCAAGAATCTTCTCCGACTTCTACTCTATCAACACACCAGCCTACTATGTCTTGACCAGTCTATCTGCAGTCTACTGCATTCCAAGTAACTCCACCTAGAACATAGGCAAGTAGGCCTACTTTCAACCCAGTCTTTCCTCCCGCAGCATCTCACAGTCTGGTCGCTGTGATCACGACTTTCTGCAATCTGAATTTCCTTGTCGATGAACCCAACTCGTTGCACTTGTTGTCGTCACTGATACGGTTACACTTCAACAGAATCAGAAGCAGCCTTCTTCAGCTATACTGTACGTGTAGCATCTAATGGTTCAAAAACAAAACAAAAAACAGTCTCTTGGTCTAAGAAAAAGACTAATTTTATTCAGTGATACTGCCAGTTGTTAGTTGGAAGACTCCGTGATTCGTTGATGGTGGAATGAAGATTATTCAGTGTCGGTCATCCTACACTTCAGTTCAGATTTGATCGATCGACAGCAGGTCTAAATTTCCACGACTAATAACTCTACAACTTCCTGCATGTAGTGCATTCCCTGCTTCTGTTGTGTATTCCATGTACAATCATGCGGGTGAGTGAAAGCACATGTAGTATGAGATGACAAACAATTATGCAGTTGTGCAATGCAGTATGTACATTACCCATATTTCCGTGGTCAGAATTGCACTTCTCGTGAAAATCAGGCCAAAGTGACCCCTGCCTTGAACATTCTTCATAATAAAGAAATGCATCTGAAAGGTGACCTTTCTCTCCAAGAGTGGATGCATCGTTTATGGCTACTGTATGGCCAAGTCCTGCAAACTTGTCCGATTTTCTGGACACTGTCCGAAAATATACGCTCACTCCGAAAACCATCCCCAAAGGCAAAGGCCAAAGACAAAAGCCAGAACAGCTCTGTGTACTGTGTAGACCTACTGTGTGTGCGTGCGTGTGTGTGGTACGGACACATGACAGACTAAGTAAGTAAGTGGTACCGGTTGCAGCATGCAGCATATGCCTGGGTCCGTTACCATGGTCACAGCACCGTGCATGCTCCTTCGTCCAGTCCTGACGTGCATGACTCAGTGACTGGTTTGTGGTAGAGCAACGAATGAAGTGGAACTGAACAGTGAACTGTGTATAATGAGAGAGAGTCTGAGTGTCTCTCGTTTGAAAGAAAGGCGGTATATTACTATTTGTACCGAAAGGAGGTCATGGGTTCAAGTCTAGCAATTAGCCAAATCAATGACAATGCGCTGCAGATTCGAAGCAACCATGGACTAATGGACTGGTGGTGACTGACGAGAGGGGATAGCAGTGAGAATGCCAGGAGGAGGTGGACAGAATGCCTGCACGACCAAAGGCACAACGTTGCTGCTTGTCATGGCAGTTAGCGCCATTTCCCTCTTCACCAACCTGCACATCTCTCATCTGACATCCAGCAACGCCGGGATCGTCTGGGCTTCGAACAAAAACCAGCATTCTCCCGGCGCCTCGCCACTGGATGAACGAGAAATTGCTGACCTGCTGGGACGCGTTAGCACCGTGGTGGAGGTGAACACTGCTAAGCATTCGCCGCTAAACAACAGCAATGGTCGCATGTCGACGGAGACAATGAAGGCGGCAACGGAACCTCCCAATCCCATTATGCTACTCCTACAAGAGGTATGGCCGCGGATACGCGGCGTGCGCGTTGTCCGCGAAGCATGTGTTTGTGGGCGCACATCATGAAGTGTAATGTTTGTATTGTAATTCACCCGAGCATTTCATTCAATCGCAATGCCACTGTTCCGTCATGATACATATACAGTCGACTCCTGATAAATAGCGAACACAGCAAAAATAGACTCGGATGGAGAGCCAAGGATTAATTTATAAGAAGAAAAAAGGACCGTCAGTACCTTTGGTCAGTGTCGTGCATTTGTCATCGCATGAGCTGATTGTAAAGTAACTGATGGCGTTAGTGGACAGCGTAACTTGTAGTTCCTTGGTCCATTTTTCTTCTTCCAGCAAAATTGGTTCTTTTAATTAATATAGCCGAAGTTCGTTTAACAGAAATACACTCATACCATACAAGCAACACAGACTCCCCCCCTATTCCCATTTGTAATACAGCTCTGATAGTGTTGGGGAAACGGCATGTCTATAATCAGCAACCCTGTGTCCTGTGTGTTTAATCCGTGCGGCTTAGATCGAGAACGAGCAGTTGTTGCTGAAGAAGGGTAACGCGGACGGCAAGAAGCCAATCGCCCTTGTGAGAGGTTCCAGCCAGGTCGTCGACAGGGACTTGCCACTGTATCTCCAAGGACTGGAGAAGGCTGGGTTTGATGTTCGCATCTCCAAACAAGCGGCGCACGGCCAGCCTGCCAATATCAGCGTCGTAGGTAAGGGATTTCCCCATGCACTAAACCTTGATATGAGGTAAGGGATCATGATGCCTCACGTTTCATGTTGCTGACCCAGTGCATTGCACTAGCAATCCTTCTGCTTGCAGCCGTAGAAGTGAAACCCGCATTATCCACATGGTTGTGTGCTGCCAACTCAGCTGGTCCCATTGCTTAGTCTCTCAAGACTCAACACACTATGTATAGTGGTCTCTTTGTAGTGAAAATCTCTCTACACTCACCAAGGTCACAGAACGTGACAAGATGAGGAATGTGAGAAATGTGTCAGCATGTCTACTAGTGCACCCATCACCAATGCATCAATTCTTGGCACACAGTTGTCCACTGTCAATCATCGTACATGTGTACGCAGAGCAATGTTCAGGGGTGATGGGCCGCGATGATCCTACGGTAAACAGGGATTGGGGCTGGAAGCTGCTGGACACAGTGTGTTAGTGTGGTGCTGAACTTTGACTGTGCTCTTGCACATGTTGTACTTTTAAAGGCACAGTACTGTTTGATGTGTATGTCCGGTGTGCTAGCTAGTTGTACTGTGTCAAGCCGCAGTGCAGATAATCCTCTTCACACTTTACTTCACGCTTATGGCTCCAGCTCCACAGCATTTCTTTTCCATTTTGCACTGACATATTCACATGCAGACACCGCTCCTCACTTCTTTCCATGCCTCTCTCCCAGCACCTTTCATCAGCAATCCTACTCTCCACACAAACACCTAAGCTAAACACATTTCTCACATTTTCCTCATCTTTTCCCTTTGCTACAGCACCCCGGAGAACACACTATATCTATTTCAAGTCTTCGCTGTTCGCCTTTAGTTTTATTGTTTCACCCTGGGGATGGGTCTTGCAAGAAAATTTGGTGAATATAGAGATTCTTGTAGCGAAGAGACAATTATTATGTGAGTGTTCAGACTGTAGTAATGTGCACAGGAATATGTACCCCATGAGGGGCACAGGGGCGTGCATGTGCACCCCCCCTAAGATCCTCAGGGCGTGCGTGTGTGCACATTATATGTAGATTGCATCCTGTCACGAGTGTGTTATATGCTCGCTGACTCTGTTGTGCTGCAGACCAGAGCTCGGCAGTTGATTGGACCCTTCTACTGTGCATGGCCTTCAATGATGGTGATGGCAGTAGCTGTATGATACGCTCCACTATCAAGCATTTGCGACCACACCAGAAGGTAAGAGATATGCATACAGTACCGCCGAGCGCCGAAGAACGGAGCGTCGAAGAAGGACCAGGCTAGGATTTTACCAAGCACAGCATACAATGTATACACGGTGACTCAATTGTGCATAGACTGTAATACATGAAATAGGAACGGTCTTGGCCAGGAGGCTGCCCCCCCCCCCAGTTTTTAGGCGACCGACACTACTGTAGTAGAAGCTAGCCGCCATGCCCATAGCCGCTGGGCTTCACGGTGCTTCTCCAAAGTTCTTGTAATCGACAGCACAATGCAACCTATGTTTAGTGACTACTTGCACTACGGTAAGATGCCACCTGCCTTCTAAGACCTGTCAGTCATTATCAAGATTTATGCCATGTTCCTACATACATGTGAACCTGTGTTGGAAGACACCGTGTCATATGAGACCTGGCAGTCTTTTGCATACCCATACCCTGTTTCCACATACCTGTGTCGAAAGACAGCCTGTTTCTATTGTAGAACCGGTATTCCGTGCACCCCATGTAGTGGCGGCTGGATACAGAGTCCACTGTGCAGTAAGACCTCTATCTCTCTCTCTCTCTCTCACACACACACACACACACACACACACACACACACACACACACACACACACACACACACACACACACCACAGGCTTGTCTTTCCACAGAAATATCTAGACAGGCGAGGGGGATCCGGCAAATTAAACATACACGTAGCTGTGTTTGCTGCTCCAGCTAAAATTCTGACCGGCTAGCGGCGGATCTGGATAAAAAGGGCATTGGATAAGATGTACGACTGTACCCGGTTGGATACGTAGTTTGTTAGAGAAAGCTAGATATCACTGCTAATGTGCCTGTGCGTGTATGGTCTACTCTGCTCTCTCAACTGTAGATATCCCGCATCCCGGGCGTCCGCAGTGTTCTCTGGAAGAAGGAAGGCCTGTGTCGCACAACGATGGATGCACACCATTTACCTGGTAATGTCGTATGAAGTCGGAGGAGGGGGAGGTCAGGAGGAGGAGGAGGAGGAGGAAGTTGGGATCCTCTGATCACCGGAGAATTGAGTGCCCGGTTGGCCTTTCTGACACAGTCCTAGTCAAATCATGGTGACAAGTGGTGCTGTGAAGAGTCTAACGATTGTTTTAAAATCCCTTCAGCAGAGGTTGTGTGAGGGCCATTACTATCATTGTTGCATGCTTTCCATGGAGTGGCAAGCCAGTGATTTTCATATTGTAATAGCTGCACCAACTGTTTTTGGGTGAATTACAAGTGTCCAAAGTGCAGTTTATACTCCGGAAAGCACAGTACATAACCTCAGTGTAACCTGGTATTGTACGTCTCACTGAATGGCTGTAAGTCATTCCAGTCGTAAATGCATGCACATGTACACTTGCATCAGCATGCAGAAAAGCTGTCCCTGCGATCTTTGACATGGTGTGTGGCTTTCATTGTGCGTGTATCTGCACTGTGCACAGCCCTGTTGTCATCTCCCATTGCACCGCTATGCTGGGTACTGCCAGTGCAGTTCGATGGCTTTGCCAGTGTGGTCAGTGTGCTTGGGAACACGAAGCGCTGGGTCTTCAAGTCCCTGGGCGCTGGCAGTGCATCTGAAGCGCAGAAGCAGCTGACCGTCATGTCGAGTAGCACTGAAGCTGACCTCAAGAAGATAGAAAGGTGTAGTACACTCAGTTTCTCTCTGTGTCCGCTTTCATCCCCTCTTTGCTTTCGAAGTTTCTTACACTCCCTCTCTCTAAATAGGGTATGGGGTTGAACAGAAGAAAAAAGTACACACATCGACATGAAGACACAGGTCACAGTATCCGGTCTGGCTGACCTAACATCTCTATTAACTGCTAGACCCAACCTTAGTGCTCATCTTCAACATAGAAGCGTCATGACGAAAACACGACTTTCCATGTGATCATAGTTCAGAACAAGCAACATCCTGTATAGTAGTGCAAAGTGAGTCAGTATGATGTCTGCATCGTAACATAGTATAGCAGACCATAACTGCCCTCTTCCATGATAAATGCACTAAATATTATTGACTCGGATGGAGAGCCAAGGCTTAATTTATACAAAAGAAAAAGGACCAAGGAACTACAAGTTACGCTACAATGTCCACTAACACCACCAGTTACTAAACAATCAGCTCATGCGATAAAATTGCACGACACTGACCGACAGAGCTCATGCGATAACATTGCACGACACTCACCGGCAGTACTAACGTTCTACAACTAACTGGCCAACAGCTCTAGCACATCTTGGATGCGCACTCCAACAGCCTTCCAACTTGGAAGGTTCTAAGTTATAGAAATTATAGTAAAATGATATTCCACTGATGAATGTGACGTGAAAATCGATTTTGGAAAGCCTTCATGACTTGTTGATGTGCAGTGATGACGGCGGAATTCATCCTATTTATTGCTATTGTGAATAATGTTCTACAGGATTTCATTGATCAAATTCTGCTGGCTTATATACATCTTGAAATGCAGGAGTGCTTGTTGTAAGAGTGTAGGCAACGCAACCGACTAAGTCACCATATTTATGCGCTGACTTTCTTTCACTACCCGTCCCTAGCTATAGGCAACAGCCGGCATTGGTGCAGGAACTTATCGAGGATCCCCTTCTCGTGAACGGCTTTCATGTGTCGCTCCGTGCCTACGTACTGGTCACATCTGCATCTCCATTGCGTGTCTACTGGCACCAGGAAGGATTGGTCTATTTCCGTCAGGATGCATCAACTGCTTTCAAAAAGGTATGACCCTGGTGAAAAGTGAAAAAAGAAAGTATGGAGCTCGTGCATGCATGCATATTCCCCCGGGGGTCTATCACACAACCACTCCCTTTCTTGTGCCTTAATGCATGTTTCTCCTACCTCATTGGGTGTGCACGCGTGCAGCTGGTTATCAGTCCACACCTGTGTGTGTGTGTGTGTGTGTGTGTGTGTGTGTGTGTGTGTGTGTGTGTGTGTGTATGTATGTGTGCGTATGTGTGTGTGTGTGTGTGTGTGTGTGCGTGCGTGCGTGCGTGTGTGTATGGTTTGTCTGTGATAGATACTAAGTCGCAAGTGGTACTTTGCCCAGCTCCGCCAGTACCTAACCCGTCACCACGGGGAGAACGCTGAGGACAAGGCCTTCTCTAGCATGGAGAGGGCCATTGTACGCAGTCTGCTTGTTGCAGAGTCCAACCTTGCTGTTCACTATGGGGGATTGGCTGCTAATCCAAGTAGTAATCTTTACAGGTACGTTCAAGTAAGTTCAGACTATTGCAGAATGAATACTGACATCGTGTAAGAACAAAGGACGTGGACTATAACATGTCACGCGGCGGACGTTCTTGGATGTAGATCATGTTCCCATAAGCGAACTGTCATATCATAGCCAGGGTCCTCTGGAAGCCATGGTTACTGTTTTCTGCAATCATCAGGTGTGCAGTGCGTCCACTACTCATTAAATTGCAATTCCTATGGTATCCTCCTCCTCCTCTGCCTCCTCCCCCCCCCCCCCCCCCCCCACATCTCCCCTCTTTCTCCTCCTCTTGTATCTCCTCCTGATCCTCTCCTCCTCTCTTCCTCCTCCTCCCTTCTTTCTTCTGCTCTTCTTCCGCCTCTTTCTCCTCATCTCTTCTCGTCCTCCTTTCCACTCCTCCTCCTCCTCCTCCTCCTGCTGCTCCTCCTCCTTCTCCTCCTGCTCCTCCTCCGCCTCTCGTTCTCCTCCGTACCGCCTTCATTTCTCATCCCTAACACATTCATGTGCGCTGCTACTATAGTTATACCAGAGCAATGTCATCATTTAATTATCATTTTTCATCTTGCTATATCTGGGTTGTCTGGTTGTGCAGATGCAATCACTGTTTTCAACTACTAGGATTTGACTTGATACTGAACAAGACACTGGATGCAACAGTCATTGAGGTGAGAACCAACCCCAAGGCACTGTCTGTCTGTCTGTCTGTCTGTCTGTCTGTCTGTCTGTCTGTCTGTCTGTCTGTCTGTCTGTCTGTCTGTCTGTCTGCCTGTCTCTCTCTCTCTCTCTCTCTCTCTCTCTCTCTCTCTCTCTCTCTCTCTCTCTCCATACACCAAGGGTATGCCGTTACTAAACTAAGGGCATTCCGTACTGCACCAGACGAACTGCTGATCTTGAGTCCCTGCACGCTAGCATACACAGGAGCTGCAGGTTACTCGGGAGGCACATGCTCTGGAGCGAGACTGAGGGGTCTATTGTGTGTATGGTATTTAGCAGGTTGTGCAACGTTTGTTTGATTGTGTGTGTGTGTGTGTGTGTGTGCATGTGTGTGTACATGTGTGTGTACATGTATTTCTTCAGGTGAACGGACAGCCTCACATGCGAGAATCCACAAAGGTAAAATGTTTTGATGATGGCGGAACAGCAAAGTTCACAGAGGTTTTTTTTATAGCAATGTGATGCATGGCAAAATGAATCTTGCTATATCCAAGAGAAATGTGCACTCCATAAATATGATCATCCACAGAACGGTCTTTGAAACAATGTCGCATTGATGATATTTTTCAAAGCACACTAAACCTCTCTGGAAATCATGTAGCTAACGTTACCTGCATGGCATGAAATACACACATCTACAAGCAAGTCTTGGATTTTTAATGTACTACCAGTACACTTGAACTTGTACTGCAGAGCAAGGTCCGCATTGCACGTCGCATAGCCACGGAAAGCTGAACAAAGCTCGGCTTCTGAAATCAGCCAGTTGCATATGCTTTTTTTGGATTATGCCAGCTTCCTGGCACGCACATCACAAATCGCATTGCACAAAAGTCATCTCCGTTGGTGTTCTTGTGCAGAAAGAGGCCTGGGCGAGTAACACGATCAAGGCGACGGCAATTGAAGAGATGGTTAAGCTGCAGTTCTCGCAGGAGGAGGTTGCCCTGCAGCTCTCCAACGCTCTCAACTTCCTAAGAAAGCACATGGGTCTAGAGGTGAGTGGCATGTGACTTGGACGGTGAGCCAATAGGACTTGGCAAGATACGGTTGCTATTAATCACATCACTGTGCCGGTTATTTTAAAAGTCCAACCACTGTTGCTCAAGTTCTGTGTAATGAGTTTTCACGCTGGAGATGTGAACTAAGTCGGGTTGCAGACCTGTAGGGTATCAACGGCTGCTTGACTTGGTCCGGAGCAGACCCTGTTACAAGTGCTGTAAAATGTTGTTGCACCTTGGTCATGTGACTGTGTTTGTGTAGAAAGTGTACATGGCATGCTGGCAGTGGAAACAATATGGCTGACATCATGTGACCCATAGATGCAAGGATTGAGTGGAGTTGGAACCAACATGACTATCCCACATGATCATGTGATTCAGGAGTGCAACGGCTCTTTATATGCCATACTTATACCGTAAAATTATTTCCCAACTGCTCATGGCTCACTGGTGACAAGGCACTCATGTACGAAGACCAATGCAGTGCCCATATCTCAACCACTGCCTCCGGCTCTTTCCTATCCCACTGTCCCATGGCTATCTTACAGGACATTAGCTGTCACAAAGATGAGAAGCTGTGCCTGACAAAGGAAGACTTGGAGTTCATGCTGTCGACCGTGCGTCAAAACCGTGCACGCGGCAACTTCATCCAGGTGCGTGTCTATTCACCCAGTTCATACTTTTGCCAAGGCATGCTGGTGAAACATGACCAGAAATTTGTAAAAACATAAGTGCGCTGATTCCGAGTCATTCTCAGAATGTTACATTTCCCCAATTTCATATCATTAGTAAGTTACGCTGAAACACCATGCCCAACACACATAGCAGAGTGCAAAGAGCAGATCCCTGCATGGCACACCTACAAGTGGTGTGTCTTCATTGGTTAACATCAGGGAGTTGTAGCCCACAGGGAGATGACATGGGCGACTGTAACGCAAAACGATGTGGGTTTCGAACACCAGGCTGCCCGTTACAGTCACTCTGGGGGCAGGGCCGATTAATACCCACTCGCATATGCCATCACTTGTCTAGGCCGCGCTTGGGGTCAGCAGGTCTTGGCCACGATTACGATGAGAATTGCCTAGACCACGGATCACGTAGAACTTTCTAATTCGGGGTCGAGCTGCACATCGTTTTGGGGTACTACGATTTCTCATCGTCGTCCTGGTTGTTATTATTCCCTGGTTTACATGTATGCGTGGTGAATAGGGCACAGTTACGGGAGCCACAGAACGCTGATACTAGAATGCTAGTCAAGTCACTCTCCTACATCTATTGTTTGCATGATGTTGAGCATGTCCGCCATGCAATGCAGATTGATAACCGATCCCTGGTCCGGGTGGAGTCTGGACTCGATTGAAGTCGTTTGGGCTGGTTAACAGTGGTTATGCTTGACTGTGCTTGTTTCACACATCGATCTGAGTGTATCTGTTAATGCGCATGCTTGCTTCACAGATCTATCCCAGTGTATCCGGAGAAGTGTACGACACTCTAGTGAAGGATTTGTCGCACGCGTCACGTGGTCGGTCGCCCCATGCCGTCCTCGTCAAATCAGGCAGGCACAACGCAGCAGCTGCAGCCGGAGAAGATGATGTCATGATCCGTCAGCACTTCCGCGATTATCACGACACAACAGTGCTGCACAAGGCACTGACGGCGGTGGAAAGCTATTTTGAGGCACGGGCTCTGGGCAATACGCAGCAGCTACGGGACTTGGCACGCTACGGGAAAGTCCAGCCAGCCGCAGCACCTGTGTAAGACATTTGATGATACCTGGTCATCCATGCAGTGTTAAACAATATTTATTGTTTTTAAGCCTTCTCTTATATTTCCCTCCACATTTCAATTATTGCATCTGTTTTGTTATAGCCTTGAAAGGCAGCAACAGCATGAAGAATCGAATAACGTAAATGATAGGCAGCAGCAACAGCAGCAACAGCAACCAGCAGTGGAAAACAAAGGCGATCAAGACAACGTTGCAGCCGAGGACAAGAAGGAGAACATGGATGACTTTGACTCGCTCGTTGGTAACGTCCTTGGCGGTGCTGCACCTGGTGAGTGTAATTCAAGGGCACACACACACATTCACACATCCTTCCTTCCTTCATTCCTTCCTTCGCCCACTGCCACAATTGGCTATGTTTCCCCAAATGGGGGGCTTGAAGGAGTGCTGACTTCGGGACATGCCGTGAGGCACTGCGGGTCCGGCGGAACATGAACCGGCTGTTTTAATGTTTTTTTTTGCTTTTACGGAGTGGCAGGAGGTGCAGTGATGTACTCGATGTCTTGAGGACGGCTAAAACGACATGTGCAAACCGAACATTAGAGTGGCTTCACGGCCGGTTGTGCACAAGAACATACACACATACATACACACATACATACACACATACACACACAAACACTGAGGACTGTCTAGAGCCCACCTGGGAGCCACGCATCCAGTTGCTTTATATACGTTTCTCCCTGGCTCTTGTCATTGTTTCAAGCCTTGTAGGATCGGGGAAGGAAATCCGTGACAGCAGCTTTAAACTTGGTGTTTCAACTTTTAATGTTGAACCTTTACTCATTTTCCGCGCTTGGTTCACTTTTCAATTTGTGCATGGCTATCAATTTCTAATAGTGTGTGTTTTTTTGCTGTTGGATTTGCACTACTTACTGCTACCCATGAACTTCAGACCGGACCCGGGAGTGTGCCAAAGGTACAGAAATCAATCACAGTGTGTACTAAGTCTTACTGCAGTGCTATGTGCATGCGTATACTGCATTGGGGATATTTGTCAGTTCCGCTGGCAGGTACTTCTGGCTCAACACATTTTCAGTATCCTATGTACAGCTTTTTATTCCATCTTGGCATGGGTGGAGGGGATGGGGGGGGGGGGGGGATGCTTCATCATGTATCCTGTCCGTCCCGGACCGCCCGGAATAGCAAGATATGAGTGCAATGCCTGAATTGGGTATTGAATTTCTAGAGTGACTTGCCCTTGAAATTCTTGGACTGAGTTTTCTCTGTATGGCACTGCACAGTGCTTGTACAGTGAATACCACTGAGCTGAATTGAATCTTGTCCTACACTTATCCACAAGTAGAGTATTATCATCGGACCTACCTTTCCCCGTCATTGAAAGTTGCCCTGTGTCTTCTGTCCCTCGATCTTCAGATCCGGATTCGGTGAAGCTATTGAAAAGTCTCAGCATGACCCCTGGCAAGCTGAACCCAGCGTTCAGTACAACCCAGACGTCATACAATATGGTGGTGCCGAATGATGTCACATGTTTGCACATCAAGGCCGAGGCCGCTCACTGCCGATCGGAAGTCAGAATCAACTCAATGAAGGGAACAAACAAGTAGGTTCCAAAACGTAGATACACACACATGCTTGTGCAAGGATCAGTCCTTGCTGGGATTTCTCACAATGACCGATATCACGTGTCCCAATGCCATAGCAATGCCATTCATTTTCTAAAAGGAACAGCACATGGACTCCAGCAATCGAGACTTTACCTGCATGGTATAAGCCCACGCAGTAAGACCAGCTGTTGTCCTTTGAACTTGATGCAATCACATGGTTCCCAGGCATGCCATAAACTAGCCTGCGCAGCTAGTGTTGCCATGGCAACCCTTGTTAATGTATACGGATGCTCCAGTGACCAGTGCGAATCTGTTTTTTTTTTGTGCTCGCCTGGATGCATGCAGGCCTGCAAACTGGTCATTGGATGTTGGCGACAACAGCATAGCTCTTGTTGTTGTGAGCCTGGAACACAGTGAGCCATGGCTAGTGAGCAAGTACACCGTCAACATCTACAGAGAGTCGCTCATGGAGCACGAGGCACGCTTCGACGAGAGTGAAGACCACGAAGTCTGTTACCTGCCCCAGGTGAGATCCCTCTGGCAGCTGCACAAACCTAAGCCAAGGCCGTGGAGTGCTGCATTCACAGTCAAGTCTCTGGGCCACACAGCCTTCATAGCCATGTGCACATTATACCCAGGGATCTGCTCAAACACTACTGCTGGGTCTCTTTGTTGTAACTCTTACCGGAGGAAAAGGCTAGAGCACTTGAGCCTTTGCCATTAACACACAGAGGGGCACGTGTTTGTTTTCTGTCTGAATGCTTTCCTGCAGAGTTGCAGTTTGCGTGTGTACCATGACCTGCCGTGTGGTATCACACACTTGTCATCGCGCACCTGGACCCAGTACAAGGCGGAGCAGGAGACGCTCCCCGTCTGCACGAATGCCTACAACCAAGGTCAGTATTATGCAGCACCGAGTCATGTATAGAATCCTGCCTTTCTAAGCTCTAAGATGATTGTTTTGTTCTAGGAGTTACGCCAATTGCACGGAAATTTTACAGGACCGTAGTATATTCACATGGCGGTGCATTCATAAATTCATACTGCACCCGAACACGTATATCCAGAATATTCTGTTCATTGGGTCATTCTGGTTGAGGTACAAAAGAACAATAACACTTTATGTAGGGTTTTGAATCATGTGACCGTTGAGCTGAGCAGGGAAATAGCCATCTTCCAGGTGTAACTTAGTATGGTGACGATCACAAAATCTGGCCTAGTACTCGTATGTAATAAGCTATCCACACCAACAGTTGAGCCCCCAACCAGGATACAGGTTTGTAGCCGGGTTGAAAATGCGAGAAAAACTTCTTCTACTTGAAGTACTTGTAGAGACAGGTTTGGTATGCAGACGCTTTGAGACGGGTTCTTGACGGGTCTCCTTGAAGTTGTCCAGTCGATTGTCGAGGACGGCAAATGCTGATCAGGCGAGGTGTTACCAGACACTGATTATGCCTGATTGTGTGTTATCCACTGGCAGGCCGCTGGGTTTTACCATGTTCTAAGTGCACACCCGCAGGAACCTGCTACTGGCGTCAGGCAGTATGGATGGCTAAAGAGTGTAGATACGTATTGGCACCTGTTGAAGACCTGCGCAAATGTATGGTGGGAAAGAAGGTGAGGCCATATGATTGCTTGAAGCAATCTTGATCCCTTTGTCTGCATAGGCGCTTTTCCTGATACCGTTGACACCGATACAAGGCTAAGAAGCCCTTTATAATCTATTTTGCTGCTGGCATTTGTTGCCGGCGAAGCATTTATTTAGTTCTGTCATGAGCGTCTAATTGATATACTACAGGCGTGTATGTTAATGAAGATGCATGCACCGACAGGCAAAGGTGGGTGCCTTGTTGTTGGTCAGAGATACACAGGAGTGTTTGCCGGCCTACAAGGTACTGGTAGGAAAGCACACATAACTGGGTTTCCTCATTTCCTCTTTCTGACACACCCTAAGAGGGGGACCAGCTACGTCCCTGCATTGCATGGGTAGACTACCAACCCATAGATGCCACAACCGAACTTGACGAACTCTCTCTCTCTTTGATCATTCACGTCTTTTTTCTGCTTTTGACATTCTTGTGCTGCTGACAGATGTTGTTCATCGGCGACTCTACAGTGCGTGGCATGATGTACCATATGATAGAGAGGGTAAGGTTGGGCTACCGGCCCCGGGGGACTGAACAAATTCATGTTACTGCTGGCATAATGTACTGCACAGTATCCCCAACCGCCAGTACAGAGACTTCAGGCGCATGCTTTCACTGCAACTTAAAGTGTTGCAATCTGAAAGCCCGAAGATATACACGTTGCAGCCAAGTCTTCTGTGCGTATGGTGTGCGGTGTGAGTGTAAATTGGAAATATCTGACACTGAAGGTTTCATCGCAGCCTCCTGGGACCAAGTCTAATCGACAAGGACTGTTCCGGAGATCTTTCCTTACTGATTAGTGCAATTTACGATTTCATTTGCACCTGCTCATTATCCCGAATGCGCACATATTGCCTGGGAACTGTCTGGAGCAGCTGGTCATAGTCTACTTGGACCGCTCCTCAGGTTAGCTAAGACCCCTACGCTCATGTTTTTTCTCAGTGTCTCTCTTCTCCGGCCTGTTCTGTTTCTGTTTCTGTTTCTGCAGCTAAACGGCACTCTGCTAACATGGAATAAAGCGCATTCCATCCGATCGTACCACATTCCAATGAATGTATCATTTGGCTTCGCCTACTATCCACAGTTCTTTCTCCCAAAGGCCAAGCAACCAGTGTTTGAGAAGGCTCTATATCAGCTGTTGAGAAGGTGGGCCCCGTAGAGCATCAGAAAGTACATGATTTTATTTTCTTACTTCTTTTTGAAGTATTGAGCATCACTGGGTATGCTACAAATGGGAAAGCAAGAGGGATATGCTATGTGAGATGCAGAAGAAATTTATGGACGCAAAAAGGAGCCCTCATGAGTTTGTGCACGAAACAATGATTTGTGTCGGCATAACCATATCAGTTGGAATAGCCCCCACCCCTCACACACACACACACACACACACACACACACACACACACACACACACACACACACACACACACACACACACACACACACACACACACACACACACACACACACCATGCTTCAGCACTACCAAAGAGCCGTTAGTTTGTACATGACACAAGGCTAGGTTACTCTGCTGATAATGTTCGGTTTGACACCATTTTGCATGTGCAATGTACTTCACACACGTCCAGGCAAGCCCCGCTGAGCAACAGCCAGGAGACAGTGCTGATCTTCGGTGGAGTTCAGTGGCTATCACCACATCATATTCAAGTTGTCAACAAGGCAATCAGAAAGTGAGTACGATCCTTTTAAAACAACATCCATACCAATAGTCCGGGGTAAGAGGGCGGAGGGGGGGGGGGGAGGGGGCAGCAGCTTTCGGCATTTCACTGTGGAGTGTCAGTACCTAGACGCATCGCAATTGTTCATTGGTTGCTTGTTTTCATGTAGAGCACAGCTGGACAAGATCACTGTCGTCGTCAAGCTGCACGGCTCTGGTTTCAACCAACCGGTGCAAGGTGTCATCTACAACAATGCTGTGAGTCAATCACTATCTCCACTGCACGGGTCTATAGGAGAGTACCACAGCAATTGTAGCCTGCTTTCACTATCAATACTGGATTTCCAATTTAGACACAGTGTGTGAATGTGCGAATCATCACAAAGTGTGCTATGCATTACAACGGACTACCGCAGTATCGCGTTTATGTAATTACATCATCAATTGAGAGCTTTGACAAAGCTGCAGCACAGCAATGCAGTCAGTCAAGCGTGACCGCCGACTCACACTGTTCTTAGCTCCCATAAGCAAATCCACTGACTAACCCTGTATACATAGCACCCATGACATCACGTTCCGCTAGTTCACCACCATGACATCATGTTCCGCTAGTACACCACCATGACATCATGTTCCGCTAGTTCACCACCATGACATCATGTTCCGCTAGTTCACCACCATGACATCATGTTCCGCTAGTTCACCACCATGACATCATGTTCCGCTAGTTCACCACCATGACATCATGTTCCGCTAGTTCACCACCATGACATTATTTACGTAACATCTATAATCTAATGGGCTAGTGAGTGGTACTGACTGTACCAGCATTTCCAATGCGTACGGACTTGCCGTGTAAAGTTTACAGCTGTGCGGGTGACACATTGATGCTAGCAGTGTCAGTATGCACAATTGACTTTGCCAATCTATCATGTGCATTGATCATTCCCATCTGAACATGCAGGCAAAGACCCGAAAGCTGCTCTTTCGCCATCGCATGATGCTGAACGCATCGCTGCAGCTCGGTTTCATACCCGTCGACACATTCTCACTGACACTACCTCGTCACAAGCACTACCTGTACGGCCGATGTGCCTGCCATTTCCACACGGTACGTATCCTTATTACACGCTATACAAGTCTGTATTACATGACAACTAGTCTCCCTCCATGCACTCTAGGATCGGTTGGCAGCCGGGTACAGCTGTACCTAAGAACCTAACACCCCCTTCTGAGCCGAGACACCCTGGTTTGGGTTACAGTTGAACAGCGATTATCTGACCACCTCTGGGCAGCGGGCCCTGGGAAGGTGTTCGGGTAATGAAGATGTTCCGGATAAGGAACATCTCACCACAGGCCGATACCTGTGTTCGGTTTATCACAGTACCCGCAATAACAGTCGTTTTCATGTCAGTTTTTGTAAGTTTTTGACTGCACAGCCTGTACACAGTGGTACAGGCAGCGAGTGCGCGCTGCTGCAACAACTAACTTTTTCGTGCAAGCTCCCGTACGAAAATGCGTAGCCTGAGCCACGTGTGGTTCGAAAGCCCATTCCGGATAATCGAATGGTCAGATAATCGATGTTCAACTGTAGTTTAGATAAAACATGCTCATACAGGGCAAATCATAGCCCAGTTTCAACCACGCTGGCGTGTACCTGGCCGAGTTCTTTCAACCAGCAGGTACATATAGCCTCTCAACCAGGTCAGTGACCATGCCGACCTGGCTCTTGGGCAGACACTGGGCAAAACCAGCTTTCTACAGCGTGAGATGCGTGCACTTAAAGCCTAACTAGCTGAGAGATGATGATTCCTTGATCACATGACCATCTACATGAATTTTTGGAAACGTGGCAGGTCCTGTGTCATGTGACCCGTATCCAATGAACCAATCATGTGATCTTTCTTAAGCAGAGCTACCATCAAGAGTACATAGCCTCCAAGGCTGTGCTCCTAATTACTTGTACTTCCAAATGATGTGACCTACCTCGGTCCGAAGTCACAGAAATTGAGGTCCTTCGTGTATTACTGTTGCGGTGTGTGTGTGTGTGTGTGTGTGTGTACGTGTGTCCATGTGTGTGTTCATGAATGCATGGATGTGTGTGTGTGTGCGTGTGTGTGCACATGTGTTCACTAACGCTATAACCACTTTCAGGTTGTAGCAATGGATGAGAACGGAAACCCTGTGCCGCAGACAACCCAGTCGGACGCTAACACACCCAAACAGGTGCACTACCACATTGACGGACCAATCAACGACTTCTATACACAATTGACGACGACGGAAATATGTCGAAAACACAACACCGAGAATACGTAGTATTTCCGTAGCTATTGTTTGCTAGCAATTATGACCCAGCTTCTAGTGGTGCTTTTATCCTTCTAGGGCAGCAACATCATTGGCCTAAGACGTTGTCTAATGCACTGGCATTCTGTGCATACACTCCATGCAAATGGTCTGCACCGTAAGTCGAGCCTCCCCTGCCGCTGTGCAACTCTGCAAGCATGGTAGCCACTGAGCTCACAGTTCACGTGTCTGCCATGCAAGCTGGCTGTGCAGCTATCAAGCGAACAATCGGATTTCGCTGACAAGGATGGTACATGGTTTGCTTCAAATGGGCCACTTATCTTTTTTAGCCACTATCATTATTACTAGTGGACTGGATCATCTGGCTTCCTCCCTACCGGTGTCAAATTGAATAGTTGATCAGGGCAAATTTCCAATTCTAAATAATTAAAGATCTCAGTTTTATGAAGAATACATCTATATGCAAGTTACCATTATCAGTCAAATTAAGAAATCATTTCTACCAACATCACAAAATTGATTATCGGCCTATTTACCTAACAGAAGTGTGCCCAGCGTACAAAAGTTCATATTTTCCTTCTTGTTTATCACAAAATATCCTAGTCCTTATCCATGCCCTTGAGGCACATAATTCCTTTCAAAGGTGGAACCCAGCATCGTAATGTAATTTTAACAAGTCAAAGTGATTTGCTGGAGCGCTGCCGATCACAATGCATCACAAATTATGCTCACACATAACTAAAGCAACCTTTCCGGTTATCAGATACAGGAAAGGATGTAAAAATAGAATGCTTTATAAAAAAATTCAATACCGGAGGAATATCGGAGGAATATCAGAGGTCGACCTCAACTATCACTGTTGGCATAAAGAGAATACGGACTATCATTGATGGGAAGGGCTGAATGGAGGTTGCATACAATTTTTTGAAAGACATTGTGAAAATTAAGACAAAACAAAAGGGTAGTCCGTGGATGTAGCTGATATTTGATTGGAAGGTCTCTGTGTTCGGATTGGACTGTGTGCATGAGGAGGAATTCAGGCAGAGTGTGTTATGCGGTCAGCAGCAAGCTGCCGATAATATCATTATGATGGATAAGTCAGCACATTCACTAGAAGTTGGTGCTGCCCTGTTTCTGCATCTTAACAATCATCACATCTACCGATCATACCACGGCTACTGATGACGAGCTAGCAGTATGAAGCACAGATCAGGCTTGAGCGTTTGCCTGTTGCTGAGAGAAAATGATGATCAGAGTAGTACGCGTTTGAGTAGTAGGTGTGGAGCTTTCGTTGAATGCTCCAGGACTGTCTTAGATAGCCGTCATATCTTGCCATTTCTGAGCGAGGGCTCAGTTTAGCAAAGCGGCAAGATGGAGTGGTGAAACAGCTTCACTGAGGTCTGCATGCACGTCTAACGTGTACACTGTGTCAGTACATTAGCCAGGAATCCGCTGCCGAGTCACCGGTTATCGGAACCTGCACAAGCACAGGGTAATGCCAGACAGTGCATGGCAATCACTTCTGTAAAAAGGCCTCAGTTAAAAAATTTCCTTTTTTAACGTGGTGGGAAGTTTGTCAGAGTAATGCGTGGCTGCACCAGTAAGTGTCACAGTGACCTTACGTTTCCTGTGATCAGTGGAATTATAAAGCAACCTTTTTCACAATCGTGATAATGATGCAATGTTTAAAACATGACTAACTGATACATACACTCGTATATTGATGGGAAATTTAGCTGTTCCCTTCAAGCGGCAACATGAGAATTTCAACCGGAGATGCTGAGAGTTACTAGCACCTCGTTATGACGCGCCTAGCTCTGTGTCATAGGCAAGAGTTACAGACCCAAGCACAACACACACTCACCGTGACACACACACACACACACACACACACACATACACACACACATACGCACACGCACACACACACACATACACACACACACACACATACACACACACACACATACACACACACAGCGGAGGAGAAACATCACTATGCATGTCACGGGTGGGCACGCTAAACTATCAATACACCTTGGGACTTACACTGATGCTGCTGTCTTCATCCTCATCATCGTCGTCATCATCTTCATCATCATCGTCATCTCCCAGAGCATCCGCTAGCACATTTTTGCTGATGCCTTCCTCTACGTCATCTTCGTCTTCCTCTATGTCATCTTCATCTTCTTCCGCATCATCATCATCAAGGACAGCTACGGACGCCTCGGCATCAGTGGGATTTGGTTCATCAGTCTCAAAGATAGTGTAAGTTTTCTTATCGCCTGGTTCCTCTTCGTCACTGTAATGTCTTGCTTGTAGCCTGTCGTACGCATCCTCTTCTTCAGCCAGGCCCTCCGGGTCCTCCCGCGCTGGAAGCTTACGGCGGCCATTCTCGAATTGAAGCGATGCATACTCAGAGCTCTGTGCTTTAGATTGGCCACCACTACCAGCTCTTGCTCTACCGGAGCTGCGGCTGCTGTTGACAGGACGGAAGCCGGATCGGCCAGGCGTCAGACCATACTTGTTGGGGGCCTGTCCGGGATACGGTACATACTGCTGCGAGAACGATCCGGCAGGACGTTGGCCCTGTTCCAACGCACTAGTGCTCCAGGACTTCTGCATTGGCTGCATCTCCATGCTGACCTTCTTCATCCATTTCTGCGTCATCTCGCGAACGACCATGGCCAGCAGGTTGAGGAACTGCAGCTCGGTCACGGCTTCACTCTGGTGCACACCCATGTCATAGATCTGAAGTATACATGCATGCACAGACCAGCATGTATAGCATTGCGCAAGCACACGCACGCACCCACACATGCATGCACGCATATGCACGCGCACACAATCCATGCCAACACACGAATGCATGTGCACACACATTTGGCAAACATAAAATAAATGACACAATTGTTGACTCCATGTTTAATGATTGAATCAACTTGTGCCGCCGAACTAGCATCCAGAACAGTGTTGTTTAGTCCAAGTAGGCTAACCATTCTGCCAACTGTATTTCCTTGAGTCCAAATCACACATAGCAATAACATCTGCAGCCTGAGTCTGGCTACTGCAGCAATAATGAAAGAAAAACAGAAAAGGAAGCTGAAATTGGAGCGGCTTGACATATCCAAGTACACACTGAATCATACGGTAAAACTGGTTAGCTATATATAGGCTGAATGGAGGCTAATAACTAATAATCCGCCGTCCATGTCCTTACCGATTTGTTGAAGCGCTGTGTCATCATATACTGCCTGACCTTGTCTTCCTTTAGTGGGTGTGCTTGTAGTCTGTTTGTGAGCAAGGGTCTGGCCAGGCCAATGTTCACTACACCTGCAACAAGATAGGCATATGCATAGGAGATAATCAAGCTGTGGAACCTACAAGGGGGTGGCAAAAGTGCGTGAATTGAGGAAGATCATAACCGTGGGCCCGGCAATTTCCCAAAGCATACGCATGATCATCATGAATAATACCATTGGTAAGGCATCACTTCACTAGCTGACTTACGGGAGCCATCTGGGTCGTATTTGCTAAACTCGGCCTGCGCTTTGTGATACTCCTTGAAGCTCAGACCTGCACACAAACAGGGAAGTTCCATCCCACATGAACAGCATCAGCCATGAAATCGAGCCGATTAAGTATTGACCAATTTCGTATTCTTGGTACAGGTGCTCTTTTACCTTATGAGCATAGGGTAGCAGGGAACCACAAGCCAGTAATTTGTCAACACAGTAGGATAGTACTTGCTTCGCTCAACCAGTGTTTGATACTCAGAGCCTGCTACTCACAGCTTCCCAGTATATAATTATTCCCGTAGCTATGCAGAAGACGTTACTTCAGTAACGTCTGGCGCTAGCCAGGGTCCACACAGCTTTAATTCCCGTAGCTATGCAGAAGACGTTACTTCAGTAACGTCTGGCGCTAGCCAGGGTCCACACAGCTTTAATTTGGTGTTTGTTTGTGTGTTTGTTTGTTTGTGTCACGCCTGGCGCTATTTTGTATCTATCCCGTACTGCACCGTACCAGCAAAGACAGCTGGCCACAATATTTTTGTTTGTTTGTGCCATCGACATGCCTGGCGCTATCCCGTACCTGTCCCGTATCATCAAGAGTACGGTACCATCAAGAGAATGAGTATATATGCGAAGTGTATGGGGGGAATGCATTCAGTGCAGTAACATTAAATTTTGTGTGGATTTGTGTGCGAGGCCGAGATCCCACTAGCAGGCTGGCTGGGCCGCCTGTCGACCAGCCCGGAAATCGCATGTAGGCCGATAGCATAATAATTATAACGTATATACAGTCATGGAGATGTATAGCAGGGAGTCATATTATGTAAACGACTCCCTGCTGTATGGGGAGATTTTCTGGAAAGAAATACGAAGTAGGGAGACGAGTAAATGCAATCAGAATGGATTTTAGTTGCCGTCAGTATAATAATAATAAGAAGAAGAAGAAGAAGAACGCCCGTGATCGGCAGAGTCAGCGCCGGTCCCAGGAAACGTCAGGACAGACATCCCGTCGACTCCAGAACGCCCGTCATCGGCAGAGTCAGCGCCGGTCCCATAGCTATGCAGAAGACGTTACTTGTACTTCAGTATCTCATTGAAACGTTTTTGCAAAACAATGATTTAGCTAATCAAAGGAAAAAGCATTTCCATCAGTTCTAACAACATGCACGATGAGCTAGGCAACAAAGCATAGCGCAGGGCCCTGAGCTTCCAAGCTCTCTCGTTTGGTATTTGTGTGTTTGTTTGTTTGTTTGTTTGTTTGTGTCACGCCTGGCGCTATCCCGTATCTGACAGCAAAAAAATCATAGGGATGTTATAAATTTTTCAATTCTCCTATTTTTTTCAGGCATATCCTGGGATTCGAACCCGCACTATCGCCCTACATGCATTCCCCCATACACTTCGCATTCATACCCATTCTTCCAAGTTGCTTCACGTTATGATCTTGCGTTTGAAAGCCCTATTTGAATATTGCGGGCAGCTGTATGTGGCCAGCTGTGTTTGATGGTACGGTACGGGAGACGGTGTCGTATTACCCTCGATCGTACCTGTCCCGTACCTATCCCTACCGTACCGTACCATCAAAGACGGCTGGCCACAATGCATATTCAAATAGGGCTTTCAAATGAAAGATCATAATGTGAAGCAACTTGGAAGAATTAGTATGTATGCGAAGTATATCGGGGGATGCATGCCGGGCGCGATAGTGCGGGTTCGAATCCCAGGTTATGTCTTAAAAAAAAAAGGAATTTTTTAAAGAATTTATAACATCCCTATGCTATTTTTTGTCTAGGTCATCAAGGCAAAAAAGCATAGCGTAGGGCCCTGAGCTTCCAAGCTCTCTCGTTATTATTACAAGTATTATTATTATTAATTCAACATCTCCTGGCTCGTCAGAAGACTGCCAATATATTATATGAGAAGTCGGGTGGTAGCCAACCACGGCGAACTGAATAATAAGGAGAGAAACAAAGAGAGTACTGCAAGGGGAGGCATGACGAAAATGGTGAGATTATTTAGGACGAAGAAGCTGAAGCTTGAACTCCTTAATGTCTGTGCATGCTTTACGGCTAGTTGGCAGGGAAGACCAGAGAGTGTACGCAGAGAAGATAGGAGATTTCAGAAACAGGGAGGTATTGGCACGGGGTAATGAGAAGGAATGACGTGTTGATCTGGTGGACACAAACCAGTTATACTTAGCAAAGTGTTTGGGAGCCAGGTCTAATAAGATCATGTGTACAAGGCTGCAAAGATGTTGCTGGTGTCGCTCTAAGAATACTTCAGTGATTCAAATAATTAATTGAAACACTTCATTAACTTCATTAAAGGGGAAGTATACCCGAAAATCAATTTTTCACCAGTTGTAGTCTTCGGGGTGCTGAGTCGAATGGTCTTGGTCCGAGGAAGCTGAGACGCTCCCTTCTTCCTTTATTCCCAATTGAACTCTCGCACTTCCACCGAAACTGGGTGACTGCGCCCTACTAGATGGGGATTTGTATGCAAAATGTCACTAAAAGCGCCATTTCGTTCTTATAAAAGCACGGATGACCGCGATTGGCCCATAATGTTGTAGTCTCTTGGACGCTGAGTCGACTGGTTTTGGTCCGAAAAGGCTGCAATGCAGCGTTCCTCCTTTATTCCCAACCGAACATGGTTGAACTAGCGGGCACGTGCTCCTGCGTACACCAGTCACCTGGTCACCGTGCCTGCAAGGTACAACTTACTAGCCTGTTTGACCTTATTTGGGTGCAGTCCTGTCACTCGAGTTGAACTCGAGTTGAACCTTGGTGTGAAAGTTGTCGCCTGCTGGCGCGGTGACCAGGTGATTTGGGCACCCAGGAGCACGTGACCGCTTGTTCAACCATGTTCGATTGGGAATAAAGGAGGAGCGCTGCATCGCAGCCTTTTCGGACCAAAACCAGTCGACTGAGCGTCCAAAAGACTACAATATATGGGCCAATCGCGGTCATCCGTGCTTTTATAAGAACGAAATAGCACTTTTAGTGAGATTTTGCATACAAATCCCCATCTAGTAGGGCGCAGTCACCCAGTTTCGGTGGAAGTGCGCGGGTTCGATTGGGAAAAAAGAAGGAAGGGAGCGTCGCAGCTTCCTCGGACCAAGACCATTCGACTCAGCACCCAGAAGACTACAACTGGTGAAAATTTGATTTTAGGGTATACTTCCCCTTTAACCTGAGTCGAATTTTTTTATTTTTTATTACGGCTAGAGTTGTCGCCTGACGGTTCTTCTTTGCGTGAAATCAATTGACTTGCTGCTGAAGCTTCTCACCGCCTTCTATGCAATGTATTAACACGCGTGTGTGGGGGGGGGGAGGGGGGGTGTATGTGTGTGAAGAACAAGTACTCAACTTAACTGCCGTACAGTGCTTGTGTAGACAACTGACACAATGTCATCATAGCAAGCACCACTCACCAGTAAAGTTAGCCGTGGGTATAGGCAGATCACTCCAATCTGAAGCTTGCGGTGCCTCTTCCAGAAACTAAGAACGAGGGTTGAACACAAAGGGACAATGAAGAATCACGAGATTTAGAGTGTATGGCTGGCTACGAGTACATGGCGGTCATAATTCAACACATTGTCTAGTTCCTTGGCTTTGGGAATCGTGGACCATAGCGACTGTGAGCACACTGTGAGCACACTCACCATATCCTGCTCGCACATGCACATGCCCATATTATGACTGTGAGCAAACTCCACGTCGTACACATGGTACCTACCCGCTTGTGTTCGTACGCCGGACGTCGACAGAACATCTTCTTGAAGTGCTTGCGGCAGAAGTGCAGCTGATCAACACGTGCTCTGTCCTTCTTCTTTTTCAGTTTACGATAACACGCAGCACACCTGTTTGGCAGGGTCAAAACCATGACATAGGGACCAACAAAACATTCCACATTCATTAAGATAATGTACTCTGTGCTGACATGGAGACCCCATTTAGCTGTGAGACCTTTTCCAGCCTCTGGAAAGTCTTTAGTCTCGACGAGTAAAGATTAAAAATCCACATACAGTCAACTTCGCTAATAACGACTGCGGATATAACGATAATTCGTGAATAACGACAGGATTTCCATGCCCAGAGCAAAGTCCCATCTAACTGAAATGCATATAATGAGACTTCGGGTATAAGGACACTTCGCGAATAGCGACACTTTTCTGATGTCCCGCCAAGTGTCCTTATGCGCAAAGTTGACTGTACATGAGACTGGTGAGACTGGCATGTAACCGTTTCCTTCCTTCATGAAGTGTTGGAGGGCACATGGCACAGCCCAGTTCATTTCACATACAAATAACTATAGTTCTAGACTAGAACTTCTAGTATGACTGTATGTGCTTTGCCGTAGAGCCCATTGCATGGTAGCATGCAACGCATTGGGAAAGACTGTGCTCTTAATTAAATCACATGTGCCTTACACATATACTAAGCTACGGGGTGAATGTGGTGGAGAGAGAGGGAGGGAGAGAGAGAGAGAGAGAGAGAGAGAGAGAGAGAGAGAGAGAGAGAGAGAGAGAGAGACAGACAGACAGACAGACAGACAGACACACAGAGAGACAGAGAGACACACACACACACAGACGGATAGATAGAGAGACAGAGGTAGAGAGATAGAGATGGAGAGAGAGAGATAGATACAGAGAGAGAGAGAGAAGGAGGAAGAGAGATGGCGCTGTGCTCGTAAAGCAATGCTGGCGGAATCGAAGCACACTTATAAAAGGCTGCATAGGAGTGTGTAGATTCTGGGAAAAGCTGCTCATACTCGTACTTCACTACACCTATTATAATTGCTAGAGCCAGTAGAGGCTAGTCGCTCTCACCTTTGCAGGCCTGTACCATCACCCTCACTGATCGTCAATGACATCTTCTGGCTGCCTTGGGGTTGTGATGGCGTAGCCACGCCATCACGCACCATCCACATTTTACCATTCGGCCCCTTGGCCAGGGTTGAGCCGCTCGCCGACTGACCCATGTTCTTCAGCTGATGCGTCTGACCGTTCTGGAAAATGAACATGTTTCCGCTGGGCGACGTGAAGACTTCAGTTGCTTGGGATTGTGCCAGCTGGTTGATGGCGTGGGACGCGGACCGATTTCGTGTCTGTGCACCACCGTGACTGCTGCCCCGTGAGTTTGCAATTGCACTTGTCGACACGGACCGATGACCGGTACGGTGCTGAGTCTGTGGCTGCTGGCCACCTCTGCTGCGTCCTGGCGGGATGCCAGCTGACTGGCCAAGCCTTGGAGGTGCTCTTTGATTGGATTGCTGCTGGGAGCGGTCCCCAGTCGCACCACCAGCACCTTGTCTGTATCTTCCAGATGGTTCAGGTCGAGGAACTTCGTAGGCAGGGTCATCATCATATTCATCTTCATCCTCATCATCATCATCTTCTTCTTCCTCCTCTTCGTCAGGTTCTTCCTCAGCGTCGTCCTCTTCATCTTCAAATGCATCGTCCTCTCCACTTGCTCGGCTCGACGTAGAGCTACGTCTTGATGAGGGCCCATCCGATGGTGAACCAGGCACGGAATATTGTGTTGGTGCGTTGGCTAGTCGATCCAGTGACGTTTCAGACATGCGACTGGCACGCGAAAGGTTCGATTCAGCCCTTCTCAAACCCACATCACCGCCCGCTGAACCAACGCTGGAAGAACGTGAGCGACTCGAGCCAGCTGAACCTGGTCTGGCCGCCGCGCCCTTTGCGTCGGCCGAAGATGGCCGGGAAGTCTTGGCATTGATTCGCTGACACGATCCATCCTCCTTCACCAAGTAGTGCTGAGGCGGGCAGACGCCGGTGCCATCGGCGAGCGCCTTCACAACATGCTTGCCAGCTCGCAGAGGCCGATAACGTACTAAGAGCGTTTCTCCCTTCACCAGAATTGTACCCTCCTCTAGTCCGCCATTTGGCGTCGTGACCTCTGCCACGAATTCGTAATCATCGAAGTCGTCGTCTGGATCGCTACTCAAACGAACGGGGAAGCGGATTTCATCAAATTCTAATACGTCTTCCGGAGGCCCTCGGCTGCCCTTCCTCGGTCGCCCGCCTACAGGACGTTGCTGCTGTTGCTGCTGCCCTCTCGGGCCGTTCCTACCTTTGTTCATCCTAGTGGCACCGCGAAGTGCCCACTCGATCGTCGCACTCTAGCTAGGACGCACCCATTGAAGCAAATCGATTTCTCTAGCGCCCTTCAAAACGATAATCATTCTATTCTTACTCGATCCACGGTTCATTTGTTTTATCGTGCTTTCATTTATCCTGTCTCGTGTGTTTATTTGGCCTGGAAGGCACGCGGTTTGGTTCAGCTGCATCAGGCGTGCACATGGGCAGGGCTCAAGGACTTTGTACAGATGGTGGTTCCCAAAACAGTGAGATTAGCATGAGACGCCTTGATTTCAACAGCAATCACGAGATGGCAACCAAACGTAGCAGTAAGACTTGCCAAACGTTTGACATCTAGACAACCTTGTCAAGACTCAAGGCTGGCAGGACCGGAGCTTGAGATCGCAAGCGCAGCAACAACATCATCAGACAATAATTGTCAGTATTGGTAGAGGGTGCGGGTCACAGGCAGATCACGATTCTCAGCAGGAAACTTGAATACTCATAGCACTGGCATACCACAGAGGGTTTTCTTGGCTATGGGTGTCGTTGATTGCAATGACTAGTACAAGTCTTATCTTCTGCACCTATCTTTCTCCTGCAAACTGACCCGATACCTTTTCAGTGAGTGACAAACACCAGTAATGCAGTGCCCACACGGTGCAGTACAACGTAGCCAACTGCTTATCCGAGCCAGCATCCGCGCATATCCGGCCGGCCATCGTGACCGTACAGGCTGCATCTGCCAGATGTAATGCAGCTTGCACAACACTCAGGACTGATGTGATGTGGGGTTACCGGTTAGGCGACCCAGGCGAACGTAATGATCGTGGCTGTTGTCATCATGGTCATGCGGTTGTTACGATATCACTGTACTGTAGATCTACGTGTCATAACAAAGCCCATGTAATGTCCCTAGGCAAGGCCAAGGGTCCGAGTCGGGCCTCCCGAGTCCCTACTACTGTACTACTACATGATTGTACACTACTGTCCTGCATACGCTATGGTCACTGGTGACGTCAGAAAGCTGATATAAACAAGCAGGGAAGTCCAATTCGGATCCCCCCCCCCCGCCCCTCCCTCCGTTCCTGCAGGATTATGTATGTGTGCTGAGCTCTGAACGCGAGTCTACCGGTGGAGAACATGACAATCAAGATCAGACTCGTCGGAAGGTATTTGGCATTGGTGCGGCCATGAATGTGTGGAGGGCCCAGGGGTCCTCCTCCGGGAATATTTTAGGGAAATTGGGCCCAAATACTGGCAAATACTGGCAAATAGCACATACCGGTACATGTATTTGATTCAGAATTACAGATGGAGCGGACTCGCTCCCTTCTATTTACACTGCAACGTTCGAACACATTTTCGTAGTTAAAACAACGTTTCGGCATATAGCCCTCATCAGGTTTGCAATGATGTGCACTCTACAAAGGAGCAGTAAATATACTGTGCTGTGCTGTGTTTGCGCCAAATGTGTCAGCTACAAAGGTGGCGAAAGGATTGGCCAAATGTGTCAGCTACAAAGGTGGCGAAAGGGATTGGTGATATATTAATATCCAGATACGATATATTCACAGTAGTGCCCAGCCAGCATTAGTGTTTACTTGCGGCCGCAAGTTGCGGATTTCAACAGCTTCTCGCAGTTTTCTGCTTGCTCTGTCGCTGGCAAACAAAGACCTCCCAAGCATAATATGACGCAAGAGGAACGCGACGGACTGAGAGAACTTCGTCATGACCCCAGTGTAGTGATAAAGCAATCCGACAAGAGCAAGAAGCTAGTAGCTATGAAACAGGAACTCTACCTGGAGAAGGCAGAGGCACTTCTGTCTGACAGCACTATGTACAGAAAAGTGGATCTAACTATCACTGCGTATGAGAAAGAGGTTAAATCCATACTGGAAGAGCAATGCACGAATATGGATCCTGATCTTCTGACTGCAATACTCCCTCATGACACACGATTCCCGGAACTATACGGTCTTCCAAAGGACCACAAGCAAAATTTGCCCCTCCGACCTGTTGTCTCTGCTTGTGACAGTCCAGTCACAGGAATTTCGGTGGTTCTCGAACGCATATTGCATCAACTGCTTGCATTTGTCCCATCGCACCTCATCAACACCAAAGACGCGCTAGACAATATCCGCACCATATACCCTGGCCTTAAAGCACCTGCTGGAACGATTCTGGCTACGATGGATGTGGTGGGTTTGTATCCCAGCATACCGATCGAAGAGGGCGTGAATGCCGTTAGTGACGTGCTAGAGCAACACCATAACAGAGTTGATATGCTCGGGCTGAGCGTGACCCAAGTCAGGACACTACTGAAGTTTGTTCTGAGTCATAACTACTTCAGATTAGGCAGACAGATCTACCACCAGCTAGATGGGGTTGCTATGGGGAACAACCTGGCACCTCCATTTGCCATCATGTTTATGCACACCATTGAGACACGACTTCTTCAGGACTCACCCTTCCAACCTATTCTGTTCAGACGATACATTGACGATATCATCATCCTATGGACACACGGTAGGCAGCGCCTTCTGGAGCTCATAGAAAGATTCAACGCCAGCCACGAACGTATCAAAGTTCACGCATGAATTAAGTTGTGACAGTGGCTGCATAGACTACATGGACGTAACGATCGCGGTTGGGCAAACCGGAGAGCTGTCATTCAAATTGTTCCAGAAGGCATGCAGTAGTGGCATACTGGTGGATTATTCATCGACAGTTCCTCACCACATCAAGTTAGCCGTCGCTCAATCTCAATTCCTAAGGGCACAGCGACTATCGTCTAACCCCATGATGCAAGCCGAGAGCGAACAAAAAATACACAAACAACTGCGCATAAATAACTACCCAGACAGTATCATATCGGAAGCAAGGGAAGCTGCCAGGAAACCTCGGCGTAGACGACGCGGTAACCGTTCAAGTCCGATGAAGTACACCACCATGTGAACAAAGCAATACGGAAATACAAGTTGCCGGTACGTGTCGTATGAGCACTCGGGCAGCCTCAGGCGTCAACTGTGCCATTCGGCGCTGTTACCACCCAAGTGCGTAAACGAGCCCAACATTACTGAAAAAAGACGAAGAGGACGTCCACTAGGGCCTTGCATTACCTGTGAGTCTGGAGGCGAACGAGTATGTATGACAAAGAATGTAGTCTACGAATTGCAATGCAAATGGTGCCGGGAAACGTATGTAGGGGAGACGGAACGCTCCTTGGAAACAAGAATTCGGGAGCACAATGGCGAGGCACGCCGTCGCACTCTCGATAAGCCATGGGGTGACCACGTGCGCGACAAACATTCTGGCGAGAGTATAGCTGCTGCGGATAGTGTGTTCTCGGCTGTGTCAGTCCTGGCAAGGGCAGGCGACAGAGCAAGCAGAAAACTGCGAGAAGCTGTTGAAATTCGCAACTTGCGGCCGCAAGTAAACACTAATGCTGGCTGGGCACTACTGTGAATATATCGTATATGGATATTAATATATCACCAATCCCTTTCGCCACCTTTGTAGCTGACACATTTGGCGCAAACACAGCACAGCACAGTATATTTACTGCTCCTTTGTAGAGTGCACATCATTGCAAACCTGATGAGGGCTATATGCCGAAACGTTGTTTTAACTACGAAAATGTGTTCGAACGTTGCAGTGTAAATAGAAGGGAGCGAGTCCGCTCCATCTGTAATTCTGTATGAAACTGCAGGAGGCCTCACCGCTTCTAATGTATTTGATTGCTTCAAAAATCTGACGACGAAATTATCAGTGCGGCTTTGGCCGCGCCTGCCGCACCGGTTCCAAAGACCTGACGATTGGGACCATTAGGGTGAATAGGACACTGCACAGGACACAGATTTGTGTGGAGCTCTGCCAATGCCAACACTCATACCAGAACCACAAGTACACCGTACATGACATTGTACTAAAATCATTGCCAAAGATATCCGACCAGTGCTGCACATGGTAGTCGACTAGGATGCATGCAGCATTGGCCGGATATTGTTTTGGCAAACATTGTAGTATCGAGGGTTACACAATCATGTCCATACTTTGGCAACTGTGTAGTATTGAAATGCACACATGAGCCTCCGGGGCTGCACGTAATCAAGTTGATCGGCACAACGCCCCATATAAATAGAAAGCAATGCAACAGAGAATGAACGTAACCTTGCAGCAACAATGAAATGCTCCCTTGTCAGCAGCAATACTGTTCGCATCATCATCATCATACAGTAGACGCGACATTTAGTTCTGCTTGCAAGCAGGTGGCACACTATAGCCACTGATGGGAAAGTCTCGGCCAGTCATGACAGCCTATGCTGAGGCAGGCAGGCTGCTGCTGCAACAACAGAAGCCAAGTATTGCACAGCTGCATATACAGCTGCTCAACTGGTTAGTAAGGCCTGTGTGTGTGTGAATCCATCTGCAGCACATCCCGGTACTGGCGCTCACAACACTCCATAGGTGAACTCTACGGTACAGCGTGCTGGACAGTCTACTACTGTATCTCAAATAGCAGCTTGCCGTGGACCTTGTTACTTGCGGCGGGGCGCCTACGGGTCAGGTTTGGGTATCCTCCGGGTGCTAAGACCGGTATATTGTTCAAGGTTCGGTTGGGCATGTTGAACACGTTCGTCAATTGCATAGTTCGAGTCATCGATCACCTCCTTGAACACGGCAAAGTAGCGAACAAGTGCACGGGCATCGTCCTCGGCGATTTCCAATCGAGCCGCAATGTCCTCGGCGGTTCGGAAGCCTTCCCTCTGCAGCTGCTTGAAGTGCAATGCCATCATAATCTACGTCCACAGAGAAGTAGGACAAGAGACAGAAGTGCACACGGTCAAACATGTGCTTAAAACACAATGGGTGACTGTCTAACAAGAGATAGTCAACTTATGGGGCGTTCGAATAACACACACATGGTAATAGACTGGGGAAATTGGGCAAACATTGACTTGGGAAAGTCCATGAAGATGCATCAACTAAAGAAGCTGTACACAGTTCATTCTGCACACAACAAGGCTAGTGACTATCAAAAGCACAATGCTGACGACACCCAAATGCAGCGAAGAGCGTGGCTCACATGTTTGTATGTGGAATAGCCTTTCGGCAGCGTCAAACCGCCGTCAGCCATCTGCCGTCTTCTTGTGCCTTTCAGCGGCAGTTTCAGCGGATGCGACGGCCTCTAAACGTACACGTACACCAGGCACAAAACAGCAAGGCAATCTGTATTGATCTACTCAACGGCAATGGCGTGCGGTCTCTAATTTCACTTGATTTCATTGCAGTGGGAGCAAGCATGACAGCATGGATAAGGAGTACTGTTATGCCACCATATACAGGCCCGCCGAAACCGGTCCGGTTGGTCAAGTTATTACCAGACTAACATTTTAGCGACCAACACATGTTTCCTGCTGTGGACGGCATGTGTCCCCGCCATACTATACGCAAAGTATAAACGGCCATGATACTACCGGACCAATCAAAAACTGCTTCCGGCGGTCCTGATATACCTGCATACGCTAAGCACCAGCAGTGTGAGTGCACTACACGGCCACACCACACAGCCAGACAAGAACACACCCAATCAGGGTGCCATAGAAATTGTGCAAAACGTCATGCTCTGTCAGGAAAAAGCATGCCTCCTCTCAGTGGTGTACAAACACTGCACAGTCTCATCGCGCCCATAAATCATTGCCACGCACAAAAATGGTTCAGCGGAACTTTCTATTGCAATGAATTCCCCTTTGAATTGCATTTGCAAGGTTGCATGCTCAACTAAGCTTTGCAGGTACAAACCTCGACATCCTTGTCAGTCGACTCCACAACCATGTTCTGTAAGCGTTCCAGAAGGCCTGCATCTGGCCCCTCGTCGGTTGAGTCCTCGGGCATACTTGCTATATTCGCAGGCCTCGCATGTTGTCGTCGGGCGATCTCTGCTGCTGTCAAATGCAAAATGAAAGGTGCAATGTATAGTGTAGTTGAGGGGCCTGATTAGTCATGTATGCGTACAACCGGCGATACGGTCATCGCTTCTCATAGTGTCCGGTTCATTCTGGGGGCGTGCGAGTATCTAGCGCCGGCCACTGCACGGCGGACCCAAATCTATGAACACGGGGCTGCGCCGCGCTGGTGCTCAGTGCTAACCTATTCGTGCGCCAGGATTTCATTGAGCACCACCCAACCTTGCATAACAGGGACGTGCAAGGCACAGCATGGGGTACATCCACAATGAGTGTCGGCTTCATCCCATAAAACAAACTGCACCAAATTTTCTTGCGATGGACAGAAAGTAGCCTTCCTACGGTGTAGAACCTTTCTTATTCAAATTAATCATTTATGCTATCTACTTGCCTGAGGCTTGCAAACAAACGTGTTATGTGCAAGAAATAAGTAAGTCACAGATCCCCCAGTCCCTAGTTTCACACAAACCTTGCTCGTTGCCTCTCTCCACTGCCTCGTTCGCTGAGAACGATGGTGATGTTGGGCCTTCTCCATGGCTACTATGTCCTCGGCTATGACCTTCAGTCTGCGCTGCACTCCGCGGCGGTGCTGCGCCAGCTTGTGCTGATCCAGAGGGCCTGGCTGCGGCCACTTTGGGAATTGCTTGTGCAACGGATTTGGACTTACTCGCAGCACCTCCCATTTTCAATCAACTGCGGTGTAGTTGACTATTTCCACTTTCGTGCAGAATTAGTTTGATCAAGTCGAGGCTCAAGACAAGTCACACATAGATTCTACGCGTGCATGATCATTCATCATTCGGCTAAAAATTATTTTAGTATTTAAAGGGGAAGTTAAGGCAAAAATTAAAATTTCACCAGTTGTAGTCTTCGGGGTGCTGAGTCGAATGGTCTTGGTCCGAGGAAGCTGAGCCGCTCCCTTCCTACTTGAATCCCAATCGAACTCGCGCACTTCCACCGAAACTGGGTGACTGCGCCCTACGAGATGGGGATTTGTATGCAAAATGTCACTAAAAGCGCCATTTCGTTCTTATAAAAGCACGGATGACCGCGATTGGCCCATATGTTGTAGTCTTTTGGACGCTGAGTCGACTGGTTTTGGTCCGAAAAGGCTGCGATGCAGCGTTCCGCCTTTATTCCCAATCGAACATGGTTGAACAAGTGGTCACGTGCTCCTGGGTGCCCAAATCACCTCGTCACCACGCCAGCAGGTGACAACTTTCACACCAAGGTTCAACTCAAGTTCAACTCGAGTGACAGGACTGCACCCAAAAAAGGTCAAACAGGCTAGTAAGTTGTACCCTGCAGGCACGGTGACCAGGTGACTGGTGTACGCAGGAGCACGTGACCGCTTGTTCAACCATGTTCGATTGGGAATAAAGGCGGAACGCTGCATCGCAGCCTTTTCGGACCAAAACCAGTCGACTCAGCGTCCAAAAGACTACAACATATGGGCCAATCGCGGTCATCCGTGCTTTTATAAGAACGAAATGGCGCTTTTAGTGACATTTTGCATACAAATCCCCATCTCGTAGGGCGCAGTCACCCAGTTTCGGTGGAAGTGCGCGAGTTCGATTGGGATTCAAGTAGGAAGGGAGCGTCTCAGCTTCCTCGGACCAAGACCATTCGACTCAGCACCCCGAAGACTACAACTGGTGAAATTTTAATTTTTGCCTTAACTTCCCCTTTAAAAAAGAATGACTGTACTCTGTAGTCTGTAGACTGTATATGTGCATGTGCATGTGTGTGGTGTACATGTAGCTGCTACGTGGTTATGAATATGCATGCATGTTGCATGCTTGCAGCCTATCAATCTTATCTTCTGAAAATTGTAGTCAAGTTGCTGTCTGATGATCGGTTAAAACCGTGAAACTCAGAGTTACAGAAGAAACGCTTTTCGTCCCTCTCAAGTGTGTGTATGCATGTTATTATGTATGACAGTGCAGTGGGTCCCGCCATGTATCATGCCAGACGTAGAACGGTCACGACTTCGTTGCTTTTGTGTGTTTGTTTGGCCAAGGCCATGACATGATGACATGGATATGATGAGGTCTGTCCGGTGCTCCGAACTCAGGGCCCCCACAATCCCACATGCACAGTGCACGATAGACTATGGTAGACCCCCCCCCCCCTTCCCGTTGCATTATGTGAAGTGCCTAGGGGGGGGAGGGGCACTCAGTTTCCTGTGCAGCCCAGATCAGTGACACAATAATTATTTCATTGATTGACGGGGTACCTGGGGCGCCCGGGCAAAAAGTGGTACGGTCAATACCGTAGTGACTGTACCGTGTCTGACGCCCCTGGGTCACTCCGACTCAATGAATAGTATCCCTCCCTATCCCTATCCCTTCCATTGTACACTTTGACTCATTTCATCGTTGAGCTTGGTTTTGCAGTGGTTTTAATAAATAAAAGATAGGCCGGGAAGTACAATGTTCCAAGGCAAGCCCGAACCGGTTTGGCCAAATATTAATCCCGCACACGTTTTAGGAGGGGACAAGCTAGAATTGCTGTTTTGCTTTGCACACTTCACATACTACTTATACATGTAGATGTAATACTGCAATGGTGTATGGACTATGCAGTCACGGGATCATAAAGCCGCGTTCTGACGATTTTGCATCCACAAAATGGACAATCGGTATACAGTCAGTAACCATGGTAACATGACGTACATGTACATCGATCCTCATGCAGGTTATTTTACTGTACCCGGCGGTTACCACACTCTTGTGCCTATGATGCCACTCCCTGCTGGACGAAGTAACCGCGGTTGACGTTGAACGACAGGGATCATTTTCCAGCAAAATTTGGCCCAACCTGCACAGGCTACATGTACAAGACAAGCATACTTGGCAATTGGGCTCAGAGTGGTGTTAGCTGAAACTCAGTGAAAGTGAAAGATTTGCCCGGTGCTCCACTCTGCATGTGAATCAGAGATAGACGTTGGTCACAAGCAGCCAGGCCGCAGCACTCAGGGTTTGACTCAGTGATCATTGGATTACGTCTAACTTATCGGATCGTGAATTCCCTTCGGGAACGGAAACGATAATTTACTTCTTTACTTATCGGATCGTTTTGAGTTCCTTTGTGTCACTTTGAGACTGGGGCACTGAGTAGTGATACACAACATAGCATAAATATGGTAGGCCATACATGTAAGCGTGGAGTATATGTTCTCCGGAAAAAATGTAAGCTTAAGCGGTGCGCGCTGGGTCAAGGAAAAAATGTCAAGCTCAAGAAAACCACTGTCACAGTGTTCAGCGACAGGTGCAGAATACGTGCACGAAGTACCAGGGCACTAGATGGGACACTGGCCGGGGCAATGGATCCGTATTCGCACTGTTGGCGAGTATTCACGACCCCTCTGCACAGTGTTGCTAGCACGGTGTGCGGGAGAGCCAACAAAGCAAATTAGGATACACGTACAACAAAAAAAGAAATACCCGGTATTAACCGTGCTCACTCAAGGCTTTTAAATTGCCAGCTTTCACTGAATGAAACTACCTGACGTGCATGTAAAAGTACATGGCTTAGTGATGAGATCACGACAGTGCTAGTCATGGCAATGATCTCGCTACTAACTTACCACATATCTAGATTACACTGACGGGAGGTAAGCGTGCCTGCATCTTCTCCATACCCACCGTTAGTGAGATAGCACTGTAAGTAGTGGCCAGGTCATGATGGCCTTGGTAGAAGCTCTCCAAACGACTCTGCAGTTCGGTGAAGGGCGGTCGTTGCTTAGTCATCTTATCCAGACAGGCAGCTATCAAGGTGCCAATCTCTTCCGGCCAGGAACTAGGTTGGCTGGGCAACTGAAACTTTGTCAGTGCTTTTATGACTTCACTGTCTTCCATTTCGCCATATGGTCGAGCGCCAAGGGAGTAGACCTCCCAGAGGGTTATGCCAAAGGACCAGATGGAAGACGCGATGCTGTACTGCCCGAACATGATGGCCTCCGGTGCGGTCCAGCGTACCGGCAACAGAACATCTTTGTTGGCGCCCGTAGCATAGTAGTCACCGCTGGTCAGATCACGGGCAAAACCAAACTCACTGATCCGAACGTGAAGACCGGCTGAGACCTTCACACAACAGGATACAAATACAAAGAAAGAACTGTCAGACAATTACTAAGCCGCTGAGAAGAGTTTGCAACTACCGACCGGATCGTGGCAGGGCACTGATTGGATGGATCGTTAGGTAAACTGTATGGTAAGGTACGGGCAAAAACTATTAATTTTTCAGGGTGAGCTTGCAGCCAGTCCGTGCCACATTGATGCCACCACGCTCACTTCAAGTATTCCCATCACCAGCATGTGACAGAACTGCTGCACAATCCAATGGTCTTGCAAGCACCGGTACATGTACATGTACATGCAATTTGTTTGATTCCAACTGCATCACCGTTCTTTCTTGGACTAAGTCGGATAGCATTTTCTTCGGGTATCGGATTCGGGTAGTTTTCCACGGGTACCGGATCGGGTAATGTTTCCATGGTAACACCACAATGCACCCCTTCCCTTACACACTGGGTAGACATGCGGAATATTGCATGAATGTGTACACGTGCACTGCACATGATGTCATCTGCGACTGCAGGTTTTCGGGTACTATTCTGTACCCGCCTACCCGAGGTCCTCACGGATAGCACGGGTACCCGACTACCTGTGCACACCACTAGTTCCTTCCCATCTTGGAAAGACACCGAGTGGTCAACATGTTTGTTTGAATACAGAATGGCAGGCTCATTTGGGATGCTAGGGTCCTGACCTGACCAACATCTCAATTTGCTCAAACATTATTAAATTCAAAGTAATCCGATAACCAGTGTAGGATGGACTCTGCATGCACGATTTGGTTTCTAATCTGATAAAAAAAAAACATTTTTTTGGAGGAAGACAAACAACCCATTGTGTGTTTGCCATGACTGGTTAATATAACTTGTTTAGTCGGGCCTGAACTGCGCGTGGGTTAAATGTCTGAAGGACAAAGAACCTACCTCACAAGATCGAGCGGCCAGGTCTTTGTGCACGAATCCTTTCTCAGTGAGGTATGCCATGCCAGCAGCAATCTGCGCGCCAATCAAGGCCAGGTCACCGTCAGACAGCATGGACATTCCACCGCCGACCAGATCCAGGTCGATGACATCGGACTTTGTTCCGTCGTCGGTCGCTGAACACGTGGCAGCCTGCAGCAGGAAGTCGCGCAGGTTTCCTAGCTCCATGTGCTCCACGCAGAACATGTGAGGGTCTCGGCTTACGCAGATGCACATCACTCGGATAATGTTATCATGTTTGCACTCCGCTAAGATTTTCAACTCGGCGTAGAAATCCTCCCGGTGTCGTGCTGTCGGCGCATCCGAGATGATCTTTGCCGTCACTGTCGTCGTTAGCTCATCTTCCAGTAGCTCACAGACTTCGGCTTGGTGAACCTGCAAGTGAGTCGGCACAAAGACCAGAAAGAAACCCAATGATGGGCCGCTGTCATGAACGCAATGGCACTTACCTGAAAGTAGTAGCTCTACAGAGCTATTCATGGCAATAGCATGTTATGCACATGGCTGATCATCGTGACTGCAAACATGCTAGTCATTTGTGAGCTTTGGATGGATTAGCGGCTTCAAACATTTACGTGGATATTGTGTGCACTCTGTATGACATGCCAGCTACTTTAAAGTCCGAATCCTGCAAAGAGCAGGGTGGCTAGACCTCGAATGACAGCAATGAACAAATCGTTCAATTCATGCAGTTTTGTAGAGCAGTGCATATACATGTACTTGTAGTTCTTGAACTGTAGTTATAACCTACATGTATAAGAAGAAATGAGGACTGTCTAAGGAACTACAAGTTACGCTAGAATATCCACTAACACCACCAGTTACTTTACAATCAGCTCATGTGATAACATTGCACGACACTGACCGACGGTACTGATGTTCTACAACTAACTGGCTATCAGCTCTAGCACATCTTGGATGCGCACCGTGCCAACAGCCTTCTAGCTGGGAAGGTTCTAAGTTAGAAATAACATAGGAGGGGAAGGTGAGCGCAACCAAGACAAGCACGAGCTGGAAGTCTCAGCTGTGAAGGACGTTGGCGGATGTACATCTAAGTTATGTTGAAGACAATACTGGCAAGACCATCAGACACAACGGTCAAAGCACAATTCGAGGCTGCATAGCAACATACCACACAACTTGTGTGGCTCTAAAGATTCGAAGGTCGATTGGAGGATGTGCTAGATGTGCTAGATGTGCTAGAGCCGATTGCCACTTAGGTGTAGAACGTCAGTACCGTTGGTCAGTGTCGTGAAATGTTATCACATGAGCTGATTGTAAAGTAACTGGTGGTGTTAGTGGATATTATAGCGGAACTTGTAGTTCCTTGGTCGTCATTTCTTCCTATAACTTAATCCTTGGCTCTCCACCCGAGTCTAACAGCTATAAGCCTTTGCAATTTTGGTAATTGCCTGCGGCTTCTTTTCTCAACACAAGATAAACCTGTAACCAAAGTTATGGATGTGAACCTGGCACTAACCACCTCCAGTTGAGTCTTACCTTTCCATAGTTGATTTCTCGCAACTTCTTGAATAGAGCAATCTGGTCTCTGTCAACGTGGGCGATGGTGTTTGGTAGATCCATCTCTGGCATGAAGCCAGGGTTGCTCATACCTTGCACGTCTCCAGAGGATGAGTAGAAGCTTCCCATGGCAAACTCGGACAGCGTGGCGTAGCTTCGGCGCGGCACACGCCGAGCGTTAGTCACTGGACCATCGCTGCTATAACCACTGCTAATGCTGTCCGACACCGACGAGCGGCGGCCCGTCAGTCCTCTCCGCTCGATGTCGCCTCGCTTCGAGGAGCGCAGGTAGTTAACGCGTTGCCGCTGCACAAGCTTTACCGCTGCAAACACTATCAAGATAAGGAGCAGGGTTCCACCCACAGAGCCGAGAACGAGTGCCAACCGTGTAGCCATGTCGGGACGCATGTCAGCGACAACGTCGGTAGTTTTCACGAGTCCATTTGGGATTGTACTGATATCAACAGCCTTGCTGGATGAAACGACGTCATCTGATGAGGAGTTTGATGTTGCTGCCGTCGTGATTCTGCGACATATTTAAATAGAGCACAAAATACTGCATCCATCTGGTGTGCAAAACATTACATTTACGACAATTGGTAAGACAGAATCATATTGAACGTTCATGGGTTTTCAACTGTCATTGGGCAGTACATTACTACAATCATGTACTGTCGTGGACGTTGAAATCTGATGGGATACCCGGGGCCGGGGGCCGGGGGGGGGGGGGGGGGGCGGTGCACTTTCTGCTTTTGGCGTGTACATGCACTGCAGCTCACGTACACACTGTCACAATGAACCAGCAGTGCTCATGGCTGCAAGGCTAGCACCCTGTGATCCCTTGACTTCTCAACGTGTTTCAATGTTCACAAGAGTAGTGCATGCCGCACATGCACCTCTTCAGCATCATAACTATTACATGTACTTTGGTGTTACCATGATTCGGGTCCTTCTTTATCTTGTGCCTGGAGTCGATATTCCCATTGCAAAGAGCTGAGTGCTGTCAACCACATGAGTTGGGTCTCAAAGTAGTTGAGTGCAAGCACTATCAAAACTAGCGAATGTATGAGGTGCATGGCTGTTCACATTGCAGGACAAGAGTTCATTACTTCACATTGAAGTGCTGATAATAGTATCTTCACATAAGTTAGTTGACTGTTGTGGTCATTGTTGATCCACCGCACAGTGAGGGACATAGGCAAGTGCCTTATTTCGTGCTACTTTAGACTGGTTTCAACTCACCCCAACGAGGAAGGCTTGCTGGTGCTTGCCAAGGTGCACCCCGACCATTGCGTTAGAATAATAAGTAGACAGGCAACGACGACGAACCCGAGGCGTTCTTGACACCGAAACGACGGACCCATTCTGATGAGTATGGGACGGTGAACTCAACACCGCTGCAGAGTTTCGTCCCCTTCTAAATCTTTCTTTTTCTTCGTGTCTTACCAAAGGTTTCCATCATCCCCAGGATAGCTACTACTGCTATTGTGAAGCGTCCATGACTGAAGTTATTTACTTCGAGTGAAACACTGCATGTAGTTGCACACGGGTTTGCTCTGCCGGGTCGAGGAATAACGTCAAGCAGTCCCCAACTTCGAATGAGATCAACTGACTGCCGACGACACCTGAGCTGGCCGCACTTGCCAAGCATCTCCATACTCCCTGGTGTAGCTCTTGTCACACTACGCCACAATGCCTCTCTTCTTTGACTCCCCAACGCGCACCCTGTGTGTGGTCGTCGCGTTGCTTGCTGTCCGAGCACTGCCCGCAGCTGCCGCTTTATGGCGGAACAGAGGAGGACGAAACGTTTAGTTGCGCACATGTAAATGTACGGGACTCCCCTAGCCCTGGGCCCTATGGCCTACCGTGTTTATTTGCTGTTCATGCAAAAAAATTTCAACCGGTGCTCAAAAACATGGTTGGTACTGGTGAAGATGACCCCATGATGACGGCCAGCAGAGTTCGTTGACTGCAATTATAATAGTCAATACTCAATAGACTTCTATTATTAGTCATTGCTATAACCTGTGATTTTTCGAGCATATTTGCCCGGTGCCTAGCTATCAGGGGCAGCACCAGAAACCATCCTGATCGACACATTTCCCTGTATGATGCGGGGAGAGGGTGCGTTTTTCAGGCTGCGGCAGGTCGCTGAGCATAGATCAGCAGATTTCGGCGGAAATCTCATCCCGTTCCTGGCTGACTTGGCTTGCGATGCGACAACATGAACAGACTCAGTGAGCGCTGCGATCATTTTATGTTCATAGGATCGAGTTCCACAAGTAACATACAAAGTCATGTAGTTAGTTGGCACTGTTGCGTTTCTTGAGCTCTGGTGGTCTGGATATGATGTAGATCTACACAAAATGTCAGATGTAGATCTACCCATCATGTCATCTACATGACTATAAATTATGTACATCAGTTTTTAGTGGATTTCCGGGAATGTCGCGGACTCGCGGTGCATTTTTGTGTTTTAACGAAACAATCATGTGAAAACCGCGGATTTCGCGCGGCCGTGGGATCGCGATTTTCCCCACTGACGGCCACGCAGAGTTCATAAAATGCCATGTTCAGTGACTACACACTACACAGTCATTGCTATTTACTATAATAATTAGACTAAACCGAACGACAAGCCGATGTACAGTGCCAGGTGCCAGGGGGTCGGATTTCAGGTGCCAGCACTGTACATGTACATCAACTGCCAGTCAAATCATCCACCCACAATCATCCACCCACAATCATCCACCCACAATCATCCACCCACAATCATCCACCCACAATCATCCACCCACAATCATCCACCCACAATCATCCACCCACAATCATCCACCCACAATCATCCACCCACAATCATCCACCCACAATCATCCACCCACAATCTCCAGAACCTACCTGCATCCATCAGCAGAAGACTCACAGATATTTCCAATGATGAAGACGTCTTCAGAGACTTCAGAGATGCGACTCCGATCTACAGTGACGCGCTGAGGGAGAGTGGATATCGGGAGAACGTACAGTATTTTGACGAGCGTAAAACGGACGAGACAAAAAAGAAGAGGAAACGGAATCGCCACCGGAACATCATATGGTTCAATCCACCATTTAGCAAGAACGTCGCCACCGACGTCAGACATCGCTTCCTCCAGCTAGTGGCCAAACACTTCCCCGGCCAAAGGCTCAAGCCTCAACAAAATCTTCAACCGGAACTCGGTAAAAGTTAGCTACAGTTGCATGCAGAATATGGCCACCATCATCAAACAACACAATAACACGATTCTACGACCCAAGAAACAAGCCAACGGAGGTGACAACGACACCAGGACTTGTAACTGTCGGGCGAAAGACTCGTGTCCACTGGACGTAGCGTGACAACATTCAAACAACGCTACTATAGCCACCAATCATCATTCCGCCACAGACAACACGAGAAGGACACCCGCCTATCGCAGTACGTCTGGGCCAAGAAGGATGAAGGGAAGGCATGCAGCATTCAATGGGTGGTACACCGCAGGGCAGCGGCCTACAGCAACAAAAGCAAAACTGCAACCTGTGCCTGGCGGAAAAATTGGCAATCGCGTAAGCACACAAGCACCTCTCTCTCAACAAGAGCCTTGAAGAGGAGTGAGCTTGTGTCAAAGTGTCGCCAAGAGAATAAGTACTACCTTCGGAACTTCAAACCATCCACAGCCAGCACCTAATTTTAAGTAAGAGACAACCGGCTCAAGTGCACTAGTGGTTGTCACCTTTCACCACTGCTCAGTCTGCTGTCATTCGCACTTTTAGATTTGCCCCATGATGCAGTCATTTTACGCTTTGCACTGCCGCCATTCACAACTTCTAGATTTGCGCCATTTACACATTGCTTTGAGAGTATAAACCAAAACTGATCCAGATTTCTCATTACTGTTTTCTGATGATCACTTAGTGCGTGAACTTGAACTCGGAGTAAAAACACTTTCTCTGTCCTCTTATTTTGTGATTGTGTAATTATTAGACTAGACTGGCCTATCCCTTCCCACCGCTCCTAACAATCTGATCTTGTACTACATTGTAGGGAAACATTTCTCCAGGTGCTGGTACGGTGGTTGCCGAACAGCAGCAGCAGCAGCAGGCAATGCTCAAAAGAAAGGGTTCTCGACGACGTAACCGTCGTTGTTCTGCGACGAACATGCATATTCGCATGATTTCCCAGGCAGAGCTAGAGCTAGAGATGGAGATGGACGACGACGCCCAGACGGCCCAGACGGCCCAGAGACTGAGTCGGTACATCAAGTGCGTGATTGTGGGTAGTGGCGCAGTGGGCAAAACGTCCCTACTGATCAGCTTCACGACCAGTGCCTTCCCTGCCGACTACATACCGACTGCATTCGACAACTACAGCGGCAGCATCATGGTGGATGACAAGGACGTCATCCTGGGACTATGGGACACAGGTAAGATTAGAAATAGAACACTACGTCTGTCAATGCATGTGTCAGTTTGAACTCCGCCGCCTTTACAAGCATGTTACTGACCGCAGTATGAGACACTATTATTGTACCGTTATTATTATTATTATTACAAGTTTCGTAATAAGTATTCGCATGCAACGACGCAAATCCACACAATTCAGTAGACACTTCTTTTCTATCAAACGTTTTCTTTCCCTTCTCTTCAGGATAGTACAGGGAATGTTGGAAATTTGGAAAAACACATAACTATATAGAAAAATAGAGAAAAAGTCAACACTTCAACATAGGCGATAAAATGACTAAAGTGTGAAAAAAAAACTCGAAAACAAAAGCAGCAAGTTGTAGACAAACACGTTGAACCAAGAGTAGATAAACAAGAGTGTGCAACTCCGGATCTCTCCTGCACAATCTGCAGATACCCCGCGCCCACGGCGGAATTTTTTGTTTACGTCACCTTTTTTCAGAGAAACGCGGCTTTGCCGCAGAGCAGTGTGAGAGCACGTGCTGGGCACCGACCTTGTAGTGTAAAGCCCAGCCAAGTGCACGAGGGAAAACTCTCCAAAAGGCTCGCAGCGCGTGCGTCGTCGAAAAGATTACGTCAACAAAAAATTCCGCCGTGGGCCAATCCATCCGGAGTTGCACACTCTTGTTTATCTACTCTTGGTTGAACACATCAAGAAGCACTTGTCACACTTTCACGAGGTGTGACACCAAACAACTGCAACGATAACACATTCTCCTTCTGTACACATAGTTCTGGATCTAGTTTACGAATATACAGAGCTTCTAACACAGCAAGATGTAACTTAGACCTTCCACGAGTTAAAACCGAAAAGACATCATCACTATACAACTCACGACAATTAGCACTTCCCGACAAATGACGCTTGATGGACGATGTCCGATCATTTAGCTCTGTCACCTTCGACGTTTGCCGTTGTTCTCTTCCGTTGGGCTTGTTGACACCTCCAACGTCCTTTGAATTCATGGTCGTTTTCGTTTGACTCCTCGGTCTTCCTCGTTTCCTCTTGTTGATCGTTGTTGTCACTTCCAGTACCGACGTATTCAAATCTCCAGTACTTCGTCTCTTCACCTTGCTTCTGGTAACTCTTCCGGTGTCCGTGAGCTCCGGTGTCACATTGGGCGGTTTTCGGGATGGTCTTCCTCGCTTCCTCACGCTAGTCTGAGATGGGCCAAGCTCCCCGCCCGTCGAGGCGGAGGCGCGCATACGTACATCTACACTGGACGCAGACAAAGGCGTTCCAGTATCGGACTGCACAGCACATTTTGGAGGACGGCCACGACGAGGACGAGTACCACGAGCATCAACAGGGACAAGACCTAACGGCACATGTTGACGGATGCGTTCGCCCAGGTGTTGAAGGGTTCTACCTACGTACCGATCTTCACATTCTCGGCACTGAAAAAAATAGATAAGGTTGCTTCTACTAAGGGTAGGTAGAACGTCCTTCTTCACACTGAACGCACGCGTCGTTCCAAATACTAAATACAATTTCACGCACGGGTGAGACGAACAGACAATGTTGCGCACCTCCTTCTCGACGCGCGCAGAACCAGCACCCACCCAGGGTAAGCGGAGTACCACGGGGCACCTGTCCGGTCCAAATGGTTTCGTCCATCAAGCGTCATTTGTCGGGAAGTGCTAATTGTCGTGAGTTGTATAGTGATGATGTCTTTTCGGTTTTAACTCGTGGAAGGTCTAAGTTACATCTTGCTGTGTTAGAAGCTCTGTATATTCGTAAACTAGATCCAGAACTATGTGTACAGAAGGAGAATGTGTTATCGTTGCAGTTGTTTGGTGTCACACCTCGTGAAAGTGTGACAAGTGCTTCTTGATGTGTTCAACGTGTTTGTCTACAACTTGCTGCTTTTGTTTTCGAGTTTTTTTTTCACACTTTAGTCATTTTATCGCCTATGTTGAAGTGTTGACTTTTTCTCTATTTTTCTATATAGTTATGTGTTTTTCCAAATTTCCAACATTCCCTGTACTATCCTGAAGAGAAGGGAAAGAAAACGTTTGATAGAAAAGAAGTGTCTACTGAATTGTGTGGATTTGCGTCGTTGCATGCGAATACTTATTACGAAACTGTTTTTCCACCGCCTCCAAACTACTGTTTGAATTATTACAAGTATTATTATTATTATTATTATTTGTCTCTTTCCCTCAAACCAGTTAATATTTTATGACTTGGGGCTCCCCGTGTTGGTTGGTTGGTTGGTATATTTTATTTTACTTCGCCAGAATGAACAGGCATTGCTGCCTTCTTGCCTGGACAAGTGAATTGTCCAAGCTCTCACAAAAAGA